AATTAGGCCGAGTAAACCTAGGGTCTTAGTGCCTTAGGTAGGGCTTAGCGCTTAGCGTTAGGCTAACTAGCCTACCTTCCTCCTTCTCCTCCTAGTTCTCTATCGAATACTACTTGTACCTACTACTACCCTATCTACCTACTAACATAACCCTTCTTATATTTCTTAAATAGGCTATAGTATGCGAGCAAGCTAATTAGGGTCTATTCTATTAGGGGGCACTAGTTTATCGTTATCGCTACCGAGCAGGTCGGTAGTCGGATTAGCTAGAGTTAGGTTGCTAATAAATAGAACCCTAATATCGTTAGGGCACTCGCTAACGTCGATATGCTTAATGTCCTCTTTCCTAGCGATTCTAAATCGCTACTATTAAAGGCCTAAGTCTATAGTAACAGCGTAGTGCTTAAGAACAGGGTTGCTAATAACAATATCGGATAGAAGGCTGTCTATATCTACTATATAGGCGGTAAAATCTAATAAGCGCTCGTTGCCGAGGTCGTCTCTTAGAACTATAGGAATATAGTAAGCCCTATAGGTTAAGTGCCGAGCGTTATTAAACTAAGCAAGGGTTAGTAGGTTAGCCCTATTCAATTGTCGAAGGTCTAATTACTTAGCTAGGCGATAGCTAATAAGGGCACTAACTAAATTTCCTAGATCTAGTATAACCTTAGTTTAATAGTTAGTGCCCTTCGTATCCTATATAAGGCAGGAGCGTATTATAGCTAGCACAATGTCGATAGTCTTGACTCTTACGCCGTACAAGGCTAATAGTTAGTGCGGCGCTTATTCTTTTTTCGAAGGTTAGCCTATAGGGGTAGCGTTAGCTACTAAAAGGTGTTTCTTATATTCGGCGGAAGTACGGTCAATCCGGGCCTAGTCCCTAGGTTTGTCGCATTAGCCTAGTAGATAGCTAGTGCTATCACAGTTGAAGCACTTTAACCCGGTTAGTAGATTGCCGTAGCTATTGTTATTATTAGCAGAACAGTTAGCATTATAGGGATACGAGCCCCTTCTACGGCCCCTATCGCGGCCTCCTCTATATAGCCGTCGGCTACGGCCTCTTCTACGGTCCTTATTACTATTCCTATTGTTAGCATTATTGTCTTAGTAGGAACCTTAGTTTCCTCCGTAGCTACGGTTGCTACGGTTGCTAGAAGGTCGGATCCTTAATTCTAGTCGTTACTAGAGCTAGACAGCTCGTTTAGCTGTTTCTACCTCGACTATAAATTAAATACGTATTAGGTTGGCCTATTCAAATATATAGCGGCGGTCTAATTCGAGAATAAGCTCCTACCTAAGCTTAGGGCGTATTTTAGAGATCTATATAGAATTAGTCTTAGCCGGAAGGTTATCCTCGAGAGTCTTTAAATAGGCCTTAAATAAGCGAGCCGATTAATCAGTCTTCTATTTAGCTCGAAGATACAGGTCCTAAGCGTATTATTACCTTAGTATAGGGTTTCTAAGGGTGTCTAGTATAATAGTTTTGTAGGTCTACTACTAAATAGCAGTCTAGTCGTTAAGAGAGTCGAAAGAGTTATCCTATGTGCGCTTTAGGTCGCTATTGATATACTGTATAGCGTAGATAACTAGTAAATAGTCGTCTAGAAGAGCCCTCGGTATATTTCGCTAGTTAAGCTTACAATTACGTATATAATTATTATATTGCTTGCGACTAGAGCCGTTAAATACGATATAGTCCTTAAGCTTAGCATCCTTCCTCTTCTAAATAGATAATAAAGAAGGCCCTGCTATTAGTTTAGTTATCGGGGCTTCCTAAAGGCGGCGAAGTTCGAAGAGGTCGTCCTTTAGCTATTGTTCTTAGCGTAGGGCAGTAAGCCTGTTTTAGGTAGCTTCTTAAAGTCTCCCTACCAGTTAAGGACTAAAGGCTAGTTAGCTATATTGTCGATTAACAATGTTATTAAGAATGTCGTCGATAGGCAATTCTAGGTCGTTACCTAGAATTATAGGTTCTTTAGTAGGCCCTCCGGCAGGCTCTTTAGCAGGCACTATGCTACTAGAGTTGTTATTGCTAGCGCTACTAGCGGCGCTGCGGTTGTTGTTGCTTCGTAATAAGCCGGCTATTATAATAGGGGGTAATACTAATAATATATTATCGGCCCCTAAGATACGGATATAGCGGAATTAGTAGATATCGGCTTAGTGCGATTAACTTAGTATAATAGGCTGTATAGAAGGCCTTGCTTAATAATTAGTACGGTTGTTTTAATAGAATAGTACGTATAGGTCCCGTTCTTCGGGCGCAATATAGTTAGATTAACGGTTTTCGTAGCTATACCGCTAAAGGCTTGAAATAAGGACTATCTAGCTACTGCCCTTAAAAGGTAGATCGAATACTATATAATAAGGGTTATATTAGCAGGTAGATAGGGTAGTAGTAAATTAGTGTAGTATTCGATAGAGATCTAAAAGGAGAGGGAGGAAGGTAGGCTAGTTAGCTTAACGCTAAGCGCTAAGCCCTGCCTAAGGCATTAGGACCCTAGCTTTACTCGGTCTAGTTATATACTAATTATATATAACCTCTAACACTAGCGTATAGAAAACCTTCGTAATTGTAAGAGGAATTACGTCTCTATCTAATCCTTAGACGTTTATAGTAATAGTTCCGATGCCTTATATATTAAGCCCCTCGGTATTATTTGCAGTTCTAACATTATAGTTTATAACGCGAAAATCGGTAAAAGCGCTTTTATCGTAATAGAGATAGATAGTAGCTCCTAAATCGATAATACTTAATAATATACCTTCCTCTACCTTGCTAACTGCTATAACCTCTCTCTTTAGAACTGCTATAAGTTCTAGAGTAATCCGTACTGCCTCTATAATCGCCTAATCCTCTAAGCTTGCCCTTCTAATATGTTCTATATTTCCCTCTACTTTGCTTCCTTTACTAGCCGCTAATAGCGTACTTAAGGCCTAAAGGGAATTAGCAATCTATAGAGCTTAGGAAGAAGAATCGTTAGGGAACGTACCTTAGAGGATATTAGTAATCGCGCTTAATCCTTAGATTTTTAGCGAGGTAGCGGTGCTTTACGGTAGCGAGGTATTAGTACCTTATAGTAGCGACAGTTAATAAATTATGTCTTTGTCGGCCTATATAACGGATTTAGTACGCTTTAGTCGAGAGTAATATTCCCTTAGAGCTAAGGGTAGTAACAAGGATCGAAACTTGCGTCGTATAGCTAGCTTAAGGTAACTAATATTAGCAAAACGCTAGGCGAAGTTAGCATCGTCTTCTATGTTCTCGTTAATAATAGAGTCTAAAGGGGAACGCTTAACCTATATAATCTTAATAGGTCCTTAGGGCGGAACGGTTATAGCCCGAATAGACTACTAGTTTAGAGTTCCGAAACGCTTAGAACGACGGCCTCGGACGGGAGTAAAAGGAGCTCCCTTACGCTCTTCGAAGTTCGGAAGGTTATCGAAAGGAAATAGCAGGTCGCGAGTATCGGCCTTTAGCTAGTTAGTTACTATTCCGCTATTAACGGATATATTCTTAATCGTTGTTTGCCGAGTTAAGTAGCTCGGAGATAGTAGAGATAGTAGTTCGATCTTAGAAATAGATAGAGACGTCTCGGGAACTTGAATATCGTCTAGAAGGTTGTCTTTATCGTCTAGTAAAGTAATCTTAGATGCGATATCTAGTATTTACAATTCGAAGATAAGTTTCGGCGTTAAGATAGAATCGAATATACTATCGTATATATCCGTCGCGAACTTCTACGTTATATTTATAGCTTATTATAGGAGTATATTACGATTAGCATTAACTGCTAAGATATATGCCTTTAGTTTAGTAACGAGGCTAGCGCCTCCGGTAGGAGTCTCTTCCTACTCCTTATTATCGCCGCTAGTAATTACTTAAACCGAGTTCTTCTCGCGCTATTAACGTATTTAGATACGAATCTATTCTTACTTCTCCTTAGAGGCGTTAGCCGGATTCTTAAGGTAGTCGGCTTCTAAATACGTACTCTTTTTGTTATAGTGCTTATATTCCTTAAGATCCTTACGATCCTTCCTATCCTTACCCTTTTTGCCTTCGGTCTTCTTTTCTTTCTTATTATTCTTTCGACCGCCGTTGCCGCCGCTATTACTACCGTTTCCTCGTAGTACGGAATTCGCTGCTTCTTTGCCGAGGAGGTAGGTTATTAGGCTAGCTACGGTTCTTAGTATGCTATTAGTCTTACTAGCTAGTATATTCTATATTCGACGGAAGTCCTAGAAACGGGCTAGTAGGTTAGTAAGGACTTTAGCTATAATCTAGTTATCGTCGAAAGTGCTTCCTAGGTCCGTAAGTCGCTTCTAGAAGGTCTAAAGTTTGTTAATATAGTCGGTAACGTTCTTAGATAAGTTGAAAGTTGTAGACGCAATCTACTAATAAATTAGGTAGATAGCTTGTTTATCTATTGCCTTATAGAGGTCGGAAACGGCGTCTATAAGTACCTTAGGGGTAGTCTTATCGGCGATCCTATTGCGAATATATTAGTCTATAGTTGCGAGGATAAGTATACGGGCTATCTTAACTCGCTCTTACTACTTCTTATACTTACGGATTCTTACGTTAAAGAACGTAATATTAATCTTATATTCCTCGAGGGATTTATTAACTAATATCTTAACTTCTTCCTTAACTATAGAGAGTTTCGTAAGTTCCTTCTAGATCTTATCTATATTAGGTAGAGATAGTTCTTTAGGTTCTTCGAGGATGATTTCGGTACTATCGAGAAGACCGGAAATGTTCTTTACGTTACCGACTATAGCAATATCTTACTTCTATATAGGAAAGGTAATTTAGTCCTTATATATATAGACCTTAATGCCGTCGATTGCGACGGAGGAATCCGAAGTTACTATCGTAGGGCGTTTAGGCGCGTAGCGCGTATCGCGTATCGCGTATACGTAAGGGTCTCTTAATTACTAAGCAAAGAACAATAAGACTATAAATTAGTTGAAAATAAGTGTAGGGCACTATAAACCTTAGTAGAAGAGATAGAAGTATCTAGTTGCGTAAAAAGTCTATCTATAGTCGGCTAAAGTCCTTACTTATCTAGTAAGAACTGTTTGCTCTATAAAAGCCTATCCTACAGCTGCAGCTTGTCTTAATACAGGCTGTCTAAAACAACTCATTTCTCACTATGTGTCCAAGATCATATCTCCTCCCTTCCAACCTTCGAAACACATCAAACTCCCTAAACGTCACCCACTCAACCTTGGCTTGCACAACTATCTCCTACCGAACCTTCCTCGCCAACCCCAAAACCGCAGGTTGAACCACGACTCCAATCCGAATACACCCCGGATCCAACCCATCCTTCACCCTGCCCGCCCAACAGCACATCCAACACTTCCGATTCCGAATCCATCTCTCCCCACTCCGACTCCTCCGTAGCTGATCAGGCTGGATCCTCAACTCCCGTACCAGCGATACAGCATCGCTCGGCAATTTTTTTTTTTTTTCAGAAACTCCATCGCGGAGATTTCGTCGGCCATTTGGAACGTGTTCGTGCTATAGTACATGGCCAGCGCTTCCGCGCGGATTTTTGGGTGGGATTGGAGGAGGGCGGGTTCGTGGTGGGGGATTTCTGGAGAGGTGATGATGAAGATTCTGCGGCGGCTGACGTGGATGGTTTGGTTTTGGGGGAGTGTGAGGGAGTAGATTGTATTTCGGAGTTCTAGGGGGAGGTCGAGGAAGGTTTTAGTGTAGGGGTTTTGAGGGTGTAAGGCTGCGATTGTGGGTTCTTTAACTTGTTTGCGATTGCCTAAGCAACTCGTTAATATGCTTTTTATGCCTATCTCGCCTTGAATGAGTGTAGTGATAGTGGTGAAATCGGGAGGACTTGCGACTGTAGTTCTGAAAATTCGCGTGCGTCCTGTGTGAAAAGTCTCAGCCTAATCCAAAAGCTTGTATAGGGGAGGGTGTAAGCATATATGCACAAGGCTTAGCTTAGGCGACGTTCCAATTCAACTCTTAACGATATTCTCGATTTATGATAGCGATTACTCGAGTCTCCACTCAAATCCTTACACAATTGAATCGCTCTTAGAATCCGGATGTTAGGATATAGGTCATATTAGCGTACTCTCCACAACTGAGAAAAGACGTGCTTACCGTAAGGAAACTTCCTAATTACAACATTACTAGTATACTTCCAAGGCTCAATCGAACAAGTAGCTTCTTTTTGGTCGTACGTCTCTCCCTTACTAACCTTCTTCCCGGCATAATCGATTCGAACCTGATTAACAGTGCGCCTCGAGACATCTCTATCGAAATATTTCAGTAGCAGGGCTGAGTCTCGCCATTCCGATCAGTGCGCGCCCAGTCACCTTCCACGTTAGCACCAAGCTTGATGAATTCGGGAGAGTAGAAGGCAGTTCTAGATGCATCGGTCGTAGGATAGAAGATTTCATTATAAATCCAACCTTCAAACTTCCATTCGGCAGAATCCCTTCTAGTCACGTCGGCCTTCAAGAAATGGTTCTACTGTTCAACGTAGCTTATAGCGTGTAGCTAGTGGGAGTGCGTGCTTATAGGCGAAGAAGTGGTCGCCGCCCGAAAGGATGCCTGTCTGGCATACCGAGCACTTCGAGCCTGATTGCAAACCACTTGCATTCTACGATTGAATCGTGGTCACTTGGTTTTCAGCTCAAGCTTTTGAGGACGAATTCCAGTATTCGACAGTCTTATTATCATTATTGTCTTGACACTCCTCCTTACTATCTTTCTCTATTTCCTCCTAGCTCTCGTAAGATATCCTTCGATTCCTTCGATCTTCCAAAAGCTCGTCTATCGTGTGTCTCCTTCGAGGCCCTCGAACCGAGCATCCTTAGTGTACGCCATTCGGTGCATTCAGAATAGCGTATCTAGTAGGCACCTTCCTGATCTGAAGGGCCCCGATTCACGCTGTATGTGATGTGCCGGTCTGCCGTTATCGTGTATGTCTCCGAAGTAGACCGCGCGCACCTTGTGCTGGGTCTTAAAGGCCTTAAGAAACGTCCATTGCGGGTGTAGCGGGAAGGTCTTCGCTGGCGGGCGCCCGATCGGCTTCTTGCCTGCATTACAGTCGTAGATAAATAGGCCACACCCTGCATATGCCGGTAGCTTAACAAACGCGACTGCCCGTGCATGCCATTCATCCTGCTCGTATTTTTTCCGCCTGCCTAGTGGGTTCGTCGTAGCCGTAGTGAAGAGCGCGATCCTTACCGCCGGCTTACTCCCGTCCGGTCTTTGGATCTTCGCCTATATAAAGCTCTCGAATGCGCCCATCCTACCGGATTCGCCTCCTACGTACTGACTTTTCTAATCGCCCGTCGTGAAGGCAATGTTGTGCGGGCGTATATAGATACATTCGTCTCCATATCGCGTCTCCGCCTCTTCCCGTATCCTCGCGAGAAATCGGTCGAGTACCATAGTAATCGTAAGAGCCTCGGCGTCTTCGACAGTCTTAGGCTTCCCGAACAGCTCTGCTATATTCTTGGACCGTGTTCTCGCAGGAGTTGCCCACGGCTCCTAATATCGAATAGAATAGCTCGGGTACTGATGCGGGATACCTAACATATGAGCAGTTGTCCGTTATTTGTTGGCCTTCTTTGCTTTACAGAGATTGCAGTGTGACTGCAGAGCTCTATAACGATCGACATCGTGACACTTCGTCTGGATGTCGTGAGAGCCGTAAGACGATGGAATTGAGGAAGTCGTCAAGAATTATGAAGGCGATTGAGCAAAGCGACTGCCAAGACTAAGAACAGCAAGGTTGCGGGAAGAACCTTACACCGGCGTCGGACATGAAACGCTGCGCATCATCATGCTTGCCTGAAGCTCAGCACGCGCCAGACAACGCTACACTTCAAACACACCACCACCACCACCTCACTTCCATCAGCAATACATATCGGGCGACGCGACCACCGTCAACAGCCGCCTGTCAGACCAAAAAGACAACACATTCGCCAACAGGTCGCCTGAACAAGTCACCACTCGAACCCAAGGCTCCTCGCAACCACATCATCCATCATGGTCAGTCGAACACCCACCTACCCATCTACTTACCATACCATACCAGCGCACTAACAAAAGTCACCTCCCAGTCCCTCCGCATCGTCCCAGCTCCTTCCCACCCCTCAACCACAACCCCCAACCTCGGCGCCCCTTCCGCCCCAGGCGTCCACGACACCCTCCGCGCCAACCTAAGCTTGTCCACATCAGCGGCCCCGAAAGCCTCCGCACCATCCAACACCCTCTCCTCGCATCCCCTGGAATCACGTCTCTCGCAATGGCGCACCCAACAAGACCACCTCAAAATGGAAATGTTGAGACGCCAGTTCGGAATCGCAGAACCGGTGAGACGTCAGATGGAATTACAGATTGTGCGGGCAGGCGAGTGGAGACCGGCGGTGTTTGGGGCGACGGCGGGACTTCATGCGGATATTTTGAGTGGGAGGGATTGTGAGATTGGATGGGAGGATGTTTTTACTGGGGAGGAGTTGAGGGAGACGGTGGATTTTCATGTGGAGATGGAGGGGAGATTCAGGATGGGGGAGTGGTAGATTGATTGCTGCTGCGCGGGTGTGGTTACAAGGAATGATGGATGTGTTTTCGAGGGAGACATGGAAAATGCAGCACTGACTGCATGCACTACGCATAGAGCTATGTATGCTTCGCTGTATACTACTAGCTTGCATCAATGTCCGTGATGTACTGCTACTACAAGCTGCATTAGTACGAAACGAGAAAGAAATGTATAACAAAACCGATAGCCCAAATCACGCTGCGTGTCTCATATGCCGTAGCTTAAGACTGTCTATTCCATACACAGTAGTAGTAGAAGTGCTTCCTTAGCATCATTCCTAGAATGAATGCGGACGCCCGTGCAAAACAATATGTGCCTGCTGCCGTCAACCACAAAGCGCAGAACTCCCCGCCAAAAATCCTTGCTCAATAAACGCCGCCAATGCCAGACGCCATGGTGCTTCGAGAGCACTGATAGCTCTCGCTCTCGCACGAGTGATGCGGTATACGCCTCGACACCTCGATTTCCAACAGCGAGCGTTCCATTCATCCCATCTCTACTTCCTCATAATATCACACACCTACAACCCGCTCCGCCCTCGCCGTCGTCCCTCGATCGGGTCACGCCTGCTTTGCCTGTACCTTTGGCACCAGCTGTGTCGTCGTCGTCAATCAAGTCTGCAGGTTTGACGGTCATGTGAACCACATTCGTCGACGCGATGTTGAAAGGGAAATCTGCATTTACCCCCGAATTAGCATAAATTTGGGAGAGACAGCAGGCCAAAGACTCACCTTTGAGCGTGGACTTATCCTCAATCATTCTCCCCATAACAATAAGTCGTATCGAGCTGGGACTCGCAGGTCTAGGTTCCCATTCGCTTCTCCAATCCGTCCATATCAATTCCTTTAACTGGTATCCACTCAGTTCCCTAGGTTCGAATGTTCCTTCCGGCTTCTTGACCTCCACTTTCCGATTTCTGAGATACTTCTCATCGATTTTATAAGGGTGTCGTGCGCCGGTTGTGAGCATGAGAGATATGCTTAACACGGGCCCCGAGTTGGTTTGTGTGTGAACTATTGGGGCGTCGGTGGCTGGGCCTAGATGTTCTGTCTCCTGGCGATTGAGTGTGGGCTGTTCTGCTAGTGCTGTGGTTGCCGATACTGGGGCGGAGTCGCCGGCTGGGGTCGGCGGTATTGATTGAAAGGCATCGTGGAATTCAGCTGGGCTGGCAGGTGTCTGTGGCTCGGCGTTTGACTTGTGTAGCGTCGACATCTCTACTGGCTTCGCTTCCGCAGCTGTGTTGACGACTGGAATCGCCGCCGCTGCAGCAACGGCATCGACTTGAGAAGCCATGAGTCCCGCGCGCTCTCCTTCAAACTCAACGCTCCTGCCCAAAGTGAGTCTTCTGTCTCTCGCTCGCTCTTTTCTGTTTGGTGTATGTCTTCTGGTATGACGATATGCGCTTGCTCCAAGGAAGGTATCACCAATGTCGTCGTCTTGCCGTCCCCACCCTCGACATGAACTCCGCGGAACGCAAGTTATGGTAAGCGAGCGACAAAGAAGGCTTCAATTGCTGTGCCAGACACCGTGCCAGCAGATTCTCCCGAGGGTCCGTCGATTCTCCCGTCGAGCTCACGCTGGTGTGAGAGAAAAGGTCCAAGTGGCTCGGTGCAGGTGAAGCTGGGCTGGGCTGGAAGTGAGCGCGTGGCTTAATCAGGAAGGTTTCCAGGCGTTCGAATCGCGGCGCGTGCGGGCCGACGAAAGAACAAGGAACTGGTTCGCGCAGGCGCAGGATTGAATCGATGTGGCGATGCGCTATTTCTGTCCATCTCATGACGATCAAGACATACAACTCAATAATAATACTGATAACAAGTCGGCGTTCCGGCTCGCCGGCAAGACTCACGCTTTCTCTTGACAATATGTAATATCGATCGGAACATGCGGCTCGGAGATTCATAGAATAGCCAAGGACATAACCCCAGACCTCCCCGCAACGCAGGCGAGAAGGTGGACTGAGGACTCGCGGCCTGCACGAGATAGCCGGCAGGAAGGATGATTCATCTTGACGCCACACTGTGAGAGCCCGACCTTGGCTTTGGACATGTGTGCCCGTACTACGATTTATGCTATGCTTTCGTGGGTATCATCCTCGCGCTTCAATGCCAACATGCTACCAACAGCGCTCCGGATTCGCTCACATATTAAACGCCAATATGCGCAACCATGCATTGGCTACAGCTTGCGAAACGCCTTACTCTTCATCATCCATGCCCATGTCCTCCATCTCGTCAATAAGCTGGTCCATAGGTATCGTCAACCCTTCATCGTCCTCCCCATCATCTGTCTCCATTTCACTCATAGCATCGACTTCCTTCTTCTGGTGCTTCCTGTACAAGTTGAGTCCTTGCCTCAGCTCGGGATCAGCCTCAACATCCTGCAAGAACTGCTCATAGTCGATCTCATCACGCTCCAGATCCTGTTTCCGGGCCTTCATATCAGACTCTTCACGGGCCATTCGTCGTAATTTCCAGTTGCGGTTGTTCTTCTTGTTCTTCTTTCGCTGGGCGAATTTCTTCTTGACGAGGATAACATCGGGAATTGTGCCAGAGTATTGTTTTGATTCCTCGATGGCTTCGTAGTTCTCGTTGTTAAATTGAGTGCCGGTCATGAGATATCCCATGACACTGTCGCCAGGATGCAGGATGCTGCCAAGATGTGTCCTGCAGAGGTATTCGGTGTTGCTGGTGTCTGACGCACGCACGACCGTGGCTTCAGCGAGGAGATATCGGCCTTTCACTGGGCCTACTGGTTCAATGTCCATGACAATAAATTCGACGAGATCCTTCACATCCGCAAGAGGCGCAAATGGTGCTCGCCAGTAAATTGGTGTGCTGAGATCTGCTGTTTGAAGAGTATTCGGATCGAGAAAGTTCACCGCGGTGCCGACTCGGTAGCAAAGGGTCAGTGGTGAGATGTTGCCGATTTGTCGCGCGATTGAGATTGGAAGTGCTACCAGGTCGTCCTTGCATATAGGAACCAATTCGCATGAAAAGGAGAACTTATAGCTCTTCTTACTGGTGTGCGTATCCATGGAGATGAGTTCGTGGCTCTTTTTCGTGGTGACAGGCGCCACGGAATGCAAAAAGTCCAAGAACTTCTCAGCCGAGTTTCTTTCCGCAAAGAAGAAATCGATTCCGTTCTGCACTTCCTTGATGTTGATCGTATCCTTGTGCGCGCCTTGCTTCAAGATGAGCTGCTCTAGGTACAAGAAAGTGCGCTTGTGTGGGACCTTTTGCCGAACTTGCACCACAGCCCGCCATGTGTTGTGTGTGTATGACTTTGCGCAGTCTGGGCACTGTTTCCACTGCTGCACAAATTCCACGTCGAATGTCTGCTGTAGTATCGTCCCTTGCAGCGCCTCTTGCTGAACTGTGATCTTGACTTTAATTCGCCTCGAGTGCGGCTCAGTCCAGATGAAACTCGCATCTATGATCCTCGTCTTGCTCAGTCCTCTCAACTTTTTCAAACACAATGCTAAAAGTTCTCTTGACTCTGGAGCGGCCACAATCCATTGCGCAGGTGGAGCATGCCACCTATCGCAATCTCTGCACATGTGTAGTACACCATCTCGCTCGATTCCGGATGTGATGTCGATTGTGAGCTTAAGGCAGTCCGAACATAGCGCGCCTGCTGCTTGAGTGCCGTCGATTGGAGCGCCACAGTTGTAGCAGAGCACCGTCGCCGCCGTTGTAGGTCGATGCTCCAGAGGAACGTGTGAGTCGATTTCCATCGACATGGCGAGCGGGCGATGTCTCGATTGATGTGGCCAAATCCTTGCTATCAAAAAATACCGAGAGACTCAGCGTGGTACTCTGGAAATGCTGTAGAGGGTTTGACTCGAAATGGGGAGTTTCGTGGTGTTCGAGAATACGAAGAGTCGGTGGCCACAGATGCTTTGAAATGATCGAAAGAAGTCTCAGACCCCTGCGCTTCGATAAGATACGCGGCTGGGTCTGCCGAAACCCTGTTGGCTGAGGGACGGGACTTGCCGCCTCAGACGATCTTTGGCAGGCGCATATGCTGTACAGTACATGAGCCTCTATTCCGAAAGTCTTTCTCACAGAATTCCGCTTTCCTGCCTCTCTATAACACTCCACAACAGCTCAACCTCGAACCCAGACTCCAACATACCGCTTTCCAACAGAACTCGCAAATCTATCAACAACAAGTCCTCCTCCTGCACCTGATTCAAACCACCATGATCTCCGAACCCATCCCCCTCCAAAGCACCAACCTCCCTCCAAAAATCAAACCCGCTCAACCCCTTCAAATGATCCTGCGCCTCATATCTAAGCACCCTCCACCTCCCATCCTCACTCAATTTAAACTTAACACAAGCAACACTCCGCCTCGCCAACCCCGACCCAAGAACCCCAAGGATTTCAAACTCCATCCAGACCCTTCCCAAACCCCTTCCTTCATCACGCACTTCATCCATACCCAGAATCACAACCTCAGCATTCGGTCTCAATCTCCCGACCATTATGAGAGAGAGGCAAAAGCAATCGTGAAGTACCACGCGAGATGTCAGATCTCACAGACTGTTAGCGTTGATGTCAAAAAGTGCACCATTTGACGCCGTGGAACTCTAAATTGCGCAGCATTGCCGACCATGTGACCGCAGAGCGTGTTGGTGCACTCTGATGACTACCAGTCATGCTACTCGGATTGAGATTGTTACTGAAAGAGTGAATGAATCACGACGTGTAAAACTAATACACTTGCTATGAAAGTATAAACATTCTCTCAAGTCAGGGGGTATAGGCGCTGCGATAATGCTCAACAACCCATCAAAAAGACGCAACGCCATCGCAGAATGCCCCGCCCTCATTCTTATCACGCCTCTCCCATGCAAACAAAACAAATGAAAACTTCTTGGAGCAGCCCAATGTCAACGGCTTCATCCACTCGCCTCAACCGAAACAGCCTCAGCCATAACATTCTCCCCCTCGTCAAGAACCCTCATAACAGTCTTCAAATTTCCCAACATCTCCTTCGCATGCGCAACAAGCAAGAGCTTCTCCGCATTAGCCGGTAGTCCCAAATACGTCGGCGGCTCCCTCTCAGGCAAACACTCCTTGACCCACTGCAAGAAAACAGCCTTACTACTGCCACCAGGAAGACTCGTCCCAACATTCTCATCCTGAGCAACCTTCGCAATAAGATTGAACCCATCCTCGAAAGCATCACTTGTCAAAGTCTGGTCAACAAGAGATCGGAGAATAGACATGTCGTCGGGATTGTCAACTTTGCCACCATACATTTCTGCGACGAGAGCGCGGAGAATGTCCCAAGGGATGGATTTGGGGGCGATGTTGCTTCTTCCTCGCGCGACGTTGTCGGTCCACCATTGGATTATGAAGGCTGAGCAATCGAAGTCTGCGTCGTTGAATTCCCAGAAACCTTTCCAGCCGAGGTTTGGCGCGTAGCGGAGTCGTTCTTGGACTACGGCGTGTAGGAATGCGAGGAGGAAGTGCACACGAGCCTTCTCCACTGGTTGCGAAACGGCTTTATCGGGGAGCGAGGTGAGAGTGTCGCGCATGTTGGCACGAATACCGGCTGGCTGCTCGTACATTAAGACGCGACTGGTACGGAGTAAGCTCGATGGTATCTTTGGACTGGTCTCCATTGACAAGAATAAGCGGAAGTCCGGATGTGGCTTGAGTGAGTCAATTCGCTTGACCAGGTTCTGCAACCACTCGGTAGCGAGGTGGACGTTCTTGATAAGGACCCAAGAACCATTTGCGGCAGCACTGGCAAGAGCAGAGTCGGCGGAAGACATGCTCTCGTTGGAACCCATTGCCACGCTGGTGCAGCTTGCGTTTTGTCGCTCGACAAGTTGATCGACCTTGTAAGAAGCGTCGAAGCCTGGAGTGGAGCAAAGGGCAATCGGCGAAGAAGCAGTCGTCTCTTGAGCGATACGTCCAAGGTTCTCTGCGACATCGAGGAAATCCTGTCCGAAGACAGTGTTGACGAAGCGCTCAGTCGCAGGAACAAGACGATCCATGCGGAACAGCTTGACCAGAAGAAGCTCCTTGAGCGCTCTGTCGTTCTCATTACTGGTCGCGCCTGTCCCGGGCACGCAATGCTCTGCCTGTTCAATCGAGAAGAACTTCTGCCACGCTTCGTTCTCAACATCGCCAACCAGCTCCTTCACGCTCGTGATACGTGATGCAATCGCAACAGCTTTCTCTTTCTGCTCCGAATCGGTCGTCACATCGCCGCCCACGACTGACTCGTCCAAAAGGAGGTCGAGCAGAGTCTTGTCCATTGGGAATGGGGCAGCTTGCGCCAGAAGAACCGCGAAAGTCAGACGATCCTTCTGGAGCAAGGAAGCTGACGTCTCGCTGTATGTCTTCCTAAACAGAGCTCGCACGATTGAGTCAATGCGCTTCTTCGCATCCCGCTCATTCGCTTCCCGCGCACCTCGCAGAACAGACTCGAAGATGTTGACAAAGTACTGCAGCGAAAACTGGTAGAAGTGGTGGATGTGGTACAGCTGCTCCAGCACTGCAAAGATTGCCGAGCAAGATTGAGCGATGATCTCGTAGGTACTCATGATATTGTTGACTTCGTTCATGACACCTTCAGTCTCAGAGGCCTTGGCAGTGATCTCTGCCGCTTCGTTCTTGAGCGTTTCCAAGGTTTGAATGACGTTCTCGTCGTCGAGAATGTTGCCGCGTGACTCATTGAGGGCTTGCAGAAGCATACGCTCCAGACGGCGAAGGCGCTGTGTGAACTCGCCCTGCATCTTGACCAGATTCGATCGTCTCTCGTCAACATCGGGTCGCTCAGACTTAAGTACATCATTCAGCGTCTGTGTCTTCAAACTGCTCTGCGTGACCGTGAAGTTGACGAATGTGGTTCTGGAGCAGACGTCCGGAGCAAAAGGTGCAGAGGGATCCTTGGTACTGAGGTACAGCTTGAAGGCTGGCGAGAAATCGATCTCCTGTCTTCCAAGCTGAATGAGGACACGACCTCCAGTGCGCTGGTACTCCTTGTTGAGTACGTGATTGAGGATCGGATCAATATGCTCAGCGTCTTGAATGAGGATAGGGTTTCCAAATCTGAGCGCAGACTCCAGCTGCTTGACAAAGGAGCCATCCAGGAAACTGGTGACAGTGAGACGACGGTCCTTGCTCTCATTCTGGAGGAACTCCGTCACACGTCCAGACGGGTCAATGATGAGCGGGTAACGATTGTAGCGCTTCAGCATCACAGCGTTTTCGGTGCACAGCTCGTCCACTGGCAATGCGTGCTCGTGCCATTGCTGTCTCTCGTCTGCAGTTGAGAGGTACTCAGAAAGTGAGTTCTGCGCCTTGAATGCGATCCCAGATGCGGAAAGCTGAAGTGACCAGTCTTCCAGCATAGCACGACGGTATTGCTGATCGTACAGACCGGCATATGCCAGGAACGCAGACGCCAAGAAGACGTCGCCGATAATGGTCTCCATCTGGACCTGGAAGGTCTTGCTGCTCTCTTCCCACCGACCTCTCTCAGAAGACAGGCTGTTGAGCAATCGCATGCTTCGGTCGACCTTGGACTGCACGCGTGTCATTTCTGCCTTGATCGCTTCAGTCTGGCTAATGAGCGATGCATATTCGGACTTGTATGTGGCAATGCTCTGCTCCAGCTCCTGTAGCGTATTCTCGATCGCCTTGGCTTCTGCTTTAGTCTGGAGTGCCTCCTCTTGCAGCTGGTCGACTTCCTCTCGGAGGGGTCCGACTCGATCCAAGATTTCTGAGTAGTTGACCTGAGCCTCAACCCACTGAACCAAAGGTCCACATGCTTTGGAGGCTCGGTTGACACGCTCGAAGGTGAAGTCCTCCTTGTTCAAGAAATCCGCCCTCATTTTCGCCCTTAATTGAGGAGTCATCTGACGCTCGTTGTCATAGCCGACAATGCTAGCAATAAAGTCATCGCGGCGCACAATGCTGACAATTGACTTCCAGTCTGCGGCCTTGTGTCCGAGCAATGTACAGACAGACTCAAGCGCTAGCTTTACACCAGCAGGTGGATGCTGCATGGACCTCACTTCCGTCAAGTGCTGTCGCTTGATGTTGCTGACACTTCTCTGAGCTTCCTCAACTGCCGGCTCAGCTTTTGCCAAATCGTTAAGCACGACTTCTCTTCTCTTCGCGACTTCCTTCTCTTGCTTCTCCAATGCAGCCTGAATCTCCAGAGATGCTGCTCGTCTCTGCTCCGCCTCGCGCTGGTCCGCAACCATACGCTGCAATTTCTCGCCAGCCTCAGCATCTTTCTTTTCAAGCTCAGACTTCTTCTCGGCCAAGCTACGTTTCAGCTCTGACACTTTCTCCACAGTTTCGCGAAGTTTGTCAAGACCGACATTAAGATGGCGCTGTTGTTCCTCAAGGTCATCACGCTTCTCGTTAAAAAGCTTGACGAATTGAGCAACAAAGTCCAAGAATTGCCGTGGAGTGAGGAAAGTCTGCTTGTTTTGCTGACGCTTCAATCGGTCGTTGAAGGTGCGCAAAGAGTGATGCACATGCACCATGCCATTGACGACGGCGTCGCGATGTGAGAGCGGCATTTCGAGCTGGTCGAACTCGATCGGCAAGCTATCTGGGCATGTGTAGCTTCCTTTGTCGATATCCACAGATTGCGTGAGCTCGTAGGCAACCTGGTACAGCGCTTGATCAGACCAATCGCCGAACCAATTGAGGACGCAACGATTGAAAAGGGCCGGACTGGTAGCTGCCTTGGATCCTAAACCGTCAGAAGGTGGGTTCATGGTGAACACAACGTGCAAGTTGCGCACAATCTGTTGTGTGAACCACTTGTAAAGTTCTTCTTGCGAATCAAGCAGAAGACCTTGGCGCTGAGCGCCCTCCTTACAAGCAGTCATGAGCGTGGCGTACTCATCGCCCTCAAATAGACCAGGCACTTCTCCGTTGGCAAGGAGTGTATTCATGCGCTCGAGGAATCCAGAATCCAGCACATTTGACTCGTCCATAATGAAGCATATCTTCTCGCCCTTGCAACCGCATCTCCGGAGCACAGTACGGAGATCTTCATCAAAGTCTTCAGAGGAGTATCGACCATGCACCTTGATCTGGAACACAGATAGACCGTTCATCCACGCCACGAAACGAGACAGAGTCGTCTTGCCCGAGCCACTTACGCCGATGAGGATCAGGTGACCCTGCGGTTGCCTGAAAACACGATCGATACGCAAGACGTGTTCGAGAACATCATTGAAGAGAATGAGCGGCACATCGAGTTCCTCCTCGCAGAACGTGCGCAGACGAGCTTTGACAAAGTCGCGCAGCTGATCCCGAGCAACTGGAACATAGTTCTTGGACAGCCAGTTCGAGAAGAGGATAGGGCGCTGCAGAGCTTGCTCTTCGTCGATGTTGGGGAAGTGCTCAAGTGCAACACGGTTGACAGCTTCTTCGGTCCATTGTCGTTCCTCGTCAGCTATCAAACGATCCGAGAACAATCTCAATGCCTCATGTGCCCAGATTCGGACCAGACCTTCCAGAGATAAAGTATCGAGCGGTCTTACAGCCTCATAAATGGCGCGCACCCATCTTGTCAGCTCACGAGGCGAGTAGACGTAATGGGGTTGGATCTCTGGCGTGAAGCGTTTCTGCGATTGCAAATACACTTGAATCATGGCTTGCGTCAAAGCATCAGCATAGCCGCGCAGAGTAGGTATGATCTTGAGCACAGCATTGTTGAAGGTGCCATAGATCTGCTTGAGCGAAAGTTCGCCAGGATAGTCGACCATGACAAGCGGTGCGTGTCTCAAGAACCGAAGACCTAGTGGAGTACGGCCGGCATCTGTGGGAGGGTTACACGCGCCGACGAATTGTATCCGTTCGAGGCTGACCCAGCTTCTGGTCGATGTTCGCCAGAAACCGCCATGCTCGACAAGTTGGCGAAGAAAGGAGATTACGCGCTGAGTCCCATACTTGTCTGGAGCGGGCAAGTTGATCTCGTCGCAGAAGACCACGAGCCAGCGCCCAATTTGCCGTGGAGCCATCGTGACACCGCTGATCGACTTCTTATAGTCGCAATATTGCTCGAGCGTCTTCACGAGAAGATCTGGTGTGGTAGCACTGGAGAAGTTGAGACCAACCACTTCCATATTGGGCAGTTTGCGCAACGCGCTGAAAAGCGTCATAGTCTTACCAGATCCGGGAGGACCACAGAGTAAGAGTGGCTTGTGCTCGGCCAAGAAAGAGTAGAGTACGTCCTCATGTCGAACAGTGTCAAGTGTAGGGATAACAAGGTCTGTCTGGGTGACTGAGTGAGTATTGACCTCGATTGATGGAACCTGGTTCTGCCATGCCGACCAGATAGCCTCTGGCAAGGATACGTCGTAATCGATGAGTGATGTCTGCTCTGTCAGGACTGGCATGTCAAGTGTTGCCAGCCCAGCAAGATAGTCACCAAAGGCCTTGCGATCCACAAGTGGGCAGTCTCCAGTGAAAGACCAGACTGCTGCGAGCAGCACCTTCTTCGATAAATATGCCTCAAGTTGCTCATCGTTGAGCGGGAAGTCAGCATGGTTGATATTGTACTCCAGTACAGAGCGGCATGCCTTGCGAAGCAGCGAGAAGAGCGTGCCGAGAGCACGAATGGAAGTGAACTCCATGATATGTTTCATGCTGGCGCAATGCTGGAGACCCTTCCTCACAAAGTCGTTCTCGGTCAGTCGGCGATGGAGGATTTCTGCCATCAGGTTCTGAACTGCCAAGCGCGCTTCAGTAGATGTCGGAGTGCCTGTGTCCTCTTCCAGATCCTCGAAGGTAGCAGTCCGGAGTTGGGCAATATATCTTGAGAGCATAACGTCGACATCAACAGTATCATCACTGAACCACACCATACCACAACGCGAGACGGTGGCAAGCGTGGCATACTTCAGCGTCTCGACTTCGAACATAACGCGAACGTTGGAAGGCAGTCCAAGACGCTCACCATTGGGCAGCGTGAGCAGCTTGTTGTCGTCAAGGACACTGTTCAGGTTCTCGACCCATTCAGGGTCAACATCGCCATCAAAGACGATCCAGTGACGCTTGCTGTCCTCGCCACGAAGATTGTCGACCACTTTTCGAAGAATGCTGGTGAACAGACCATCGGTCCATTCGCGAGTGGTGCTATCCAGAGTTCCGTACAGACTTTCCTTGGACATGACCTTGGGATCAATGACATGACAGACGCCCTCGATGCCATCGACCTTTTGTAACGCTGCAAGCAACGTCTGCCAGGCAGTCGACTTGCCAGTGCCAGAGCTGCCGACCATCATCACACCATGATGCAGGCTCTGAATTTGATAGAGCTGCAGAACCTTGGTGAGCCAGGCATCTGTGGCGACCAACTTGCGCTCTTCGACAATCTCCTGCAAAGCCTCGCGTAGTTTATCCAGCGACGCAGGCATGTACTGCACTCCTGGGAATGCCTCTTCTTCGACTTGTGCCATAAGCAATGCATCATCGCGGACAAGCTTTGGCGCAATCGTCTCGCGAATACTCTGCACTATAATCTGAGGCTCCACCACGACGTCTGAGCTCTGCTCGCTACCAGCAGCTAATCTTGCACGCTTGAGCCCGCCCGAGCTGACGAGCACACTCTTTAGCGCACGAAGACCGAAATCATAGTGAGGCTGCTTTGACAGCCTAGCGCCACATTGATCGAAGAATGGCACCGTCTGACGTGACAGAGTCTTTGCTTCTGAGAAGCCCTGCGAGAAGAGCATAACTTCGGCGATAATCTCCTTGTCTGGCTTCGACATGGCAACACTGCGGAACAGCTTCTTCAAGTTGTCTGGCAAGTTCGAACGACCAGCATATCCAGGATTCATGGTGATAAACATGCCAGTAAGAAGATGAACCTTGAGCTGGCGGCCGACAAGATCAATCTGAGCAGATGGATCGAGAGCTCGCTTTCGCAGACCGACTTGAATGTTCTGGATCTGCTGCGAGACGGCAGACAGGATTCGCTCTTCCAGTCTGTTGAATTCATCGAAACAACCCCAGGCACCAACTTGTGAGATACCCAGGAAGATGCGACCCATAGCTTGGAAGTCAAATGTGTCGTCACAATTGAAGACCAGAGTGAAACGTCCAAGTTGTACACCTAGAGCCTTGACAGACTCTGTCTTTCCCGTTCCGGCTGGTCCATATGGCGAGCCACCGAGTCGCTGGCAGAGAGCCTGGCTGAGTGTGAGGAAACAGCGGTCGGTAAGTGGTGTGCGCACAAGGCGTTCCGGCACGCCAAGATATTCGAAGCCATATGCGAGGGTGGCATTGGCGACCTGTACCTGCAGGCGGTCAAGTGGAGCGGCGCTGGCATCGAATTCGTACCTCATTTGAAGCAACCAGAGATAGTGGCCAGGAGAATCGGCGCCACCCTCAATGAGTTGCTCGGTCTTGTCACGCTGGTGGACGAACTCAGTGATGAGGTGCTCAGACTTCTTGCGCAACACTGGCTCCATTTCCTGAAGCACGGATTTGGCAAGATGTTTCAGCCTGTTGACCAGACTCTCAAATAGCATTTGAAGCGCTGAACCGCCTTGCGAAAGAGCAGCTGTGACTTGGGCTGTCCAATGTGCTTGTGTAGCCAAAACGACAATCTGTGCAGGGTACTTGACGACGTACTTATCGAAGGCGGCGTCATCAGATTCCTCAATGCCCTGATACTCCTGAACAGCTTCCACAAGAAGCTCCGAGAGAGTCTCCCGCATGCCGTTCTCGAGTGCTCGAAGCCAGTCGTTGATCTTTGGAGTCTGTATGAGCGAGATCGGTGATTTGAGCCTCATCTGCTCGCCTTCTCGGGAGACAAGTCCATTGATGTTCTGCTCGTCATCAATCTCCAGGCCAGCAATACCAGCAAACATCTTGCGAAGGTGCTTGGCAATCCGTACAGTGTCGTTGCTGTTGCCAATGATTTCCAGAAGATCTTCATCACCGACAAAATAGAAGCGAGGGAACGCCACACGTTCCTTCTCCAAGTACTCTCCAAGTGCTTTTTGGATCTTGTTGAGCAAGTCGGCGAGACGTTCGAGCGACTTCTGCACGTCGGGGATATTGAGCACTTCCAGAACCTGAGGCGAGCGATAAACCTTTTTGAGCACATTCATGAACTCGCTGTTGATGTTTGCGAAGCGGGAAGATTCCACGGGGAGGAGGTGCTTGATATCAGCGTTGCCGGTGAAGACACCTTCCAGGTAGACCCACTGACGCTGGACATCGATCCAGACATCGAAGAGTACGTGAATTCGATTCAGTTTGTCTTCCCATGATGACGCTTCCTCCTCGAATTCCTTGTAGTACGGCGAATGTCGCATTGCTTGCAGAGAGTTCAAATGATCGCTGCATTTGGCGAAGAGGTCATCCCAACCTTTGATCAGACGGCACTTGGTCTGATACGGCACGAGATCCAACGAGTAATTCTGCCAGTGTTCACGTACTGAGCGAACGAACTCTTCCAACGCCATCTCACCTTGCGCTTGGGCGATGACATCGCGAATGACAGCCTCGCTTGCGACTAAATTGAGGTCCCAGACATCGCCCAGTGTCATAGACAGAGCTGAGTAGCGTTTCGATGGGGCCAGAGACTTGAATATCTTGGTCCAGTGACGCTCGCGCACTGCATCTGATCGCATTTCAGTAAGCAGTGGGTTGATTTTCAGCAACTGGCGAAGATGATTCTGAAGATGCTCAAAAGCAGCGTAAGATCGCATTCGACTTGGCATTTCCTTGGTGGTCTTGATGAGATTGTCAATGCTTTGTCGAAGCTTGCGAGGCTGGATGCTGTTCCATGGCTGGTCTTTGAGGTCGTTCAGCTGATCCCACACGACAGTCAAATTGGCCCATACAGATTTGTAGTCTTGTACCTCAGCGAGGAGATCAGCAAGCATATTATCAGGACTGGCCGGAAGCTCCAATGCTTCTTTCGCCTTGGACACCATGTCGTACTGCTCCTGAAGTTGCGTGAGCTCAGTATCAAAGCTCTCGAGCGAAGCAGTGGCTTCTTCTGGAGGAGTCGAGCCAGACTCTGGGCGCTCTTCTCGCCACTTCTCAGTCATCTCAGCAATTCGGCGCGAGACGACACCATCCTCTGCGATGATCTTGGTCCGCAAGCCTTCAGTATGGTCGTTGATTTGCTTGCTCTTCTTCTCCAGGACTTCGACAAGAGCTGCCCATTCGTGATCGACCTGCTCTACGTATAGCCAGTCCTTGGGGTACGGGAATCGAAGGCGCGACAGTGTTTGTTGACCTTGTCTGAAGGTGTCCATTTCTGGCTCCCAGACCTTGGTCTGCCGCTTCACTGTCTGCACAACAGTGATGAACGATACCGCCTGAGATGTCGATGATGCTTGCATTGATTGGCCTTCAAGATCTTTGCGCGCACGCTGCAGTTCGCTGTACACGTCAACCATGCGAGTCGCAAACATTGAAGAGAAGTGTGTGAGAAGATCGTGCTGCCACTGGTCGTATTTGGCGTTGACCTTTGCCTGAACTTGCCCGTAGTTGATGATAAGGTGACCGAATGACCGTCGCATGCCGGATGTGTCGAATGTCTCACGCTTCTGCCTAATCTCAAGAATGAGCTGCAGCCACAAGTCCAGTTCTTCGCCCAGGTCATCTTGGATTTGCTGCAATTGCAGATCCCATAGGGACTGAAATTGTAACCACTCATCAACATAGGTCTGCGCAACACCTAGCTTCCCTTCGATTCGGTCATACAGCTCGGCAAGTGAGCCCATGCACATGATGGGCAGCTCAGAATACGCTGTTGTCTGACCAGAAGCCCCAACAGTCAGAGCACTCTCGAAGCGAGAGGCCTGCAATCTCGGGAGGCTGCATACAGTGCCAATCCAGGTATGCAGATTCTCAAGCCAACCACTTTTGGCATCTTCGAGGGGTGGTTCGAGCTGAATGATCTGACTCTGCATCACGATGTCATGAGCGAATGTGTCGATGTTGGGTGTTCCTGCTTCTCTCTGGGCTTGCTGCTCTGCTCCGTAGCCATGTTCGAAGTCCTCGGTCCAGTCCTTCAAAGCTTGCTGCAACCTTGCGTGCAAAGTCTCCAGTACCTTCTCATTAGTCTTTGCAACCCAGATGGCGATGTTCGAATAGGCTTCAAGATTGAGCTGGTCAATGGCACGTTGAAGTGTCTCGAGGTGAGTGCTGAATGCCTCATGTGTGAACGGGCAGCTCTGCAGCTCTCGCAGCGCAGCTTCCACAGTCACCTGTATTGTAGAAAGCGTTGTGACTTTCTGCTGGAGTGTCGCAATGGCAATGCCAAGATCACGGACGAATCGTACGTGAAGTTTATCATCGCTGCCGCCACCTAGGGTACCATCACTAGATCGTGAGACATGCACATCGTACGCGAGCACGAAAGTGTCCCATCTAAGCGACGCACCCTTGCCAATGTACTTTTGCACATCATTTCGATGCCCACTGATCAGGTCGGTGACGTTCGACATGTTCTCGATTGTCAAATTTGTTTGACCGAAAGTGTTTAGGCTCTCCATCAAGCTCACCGCGTAAGGATAAACGCGTCGGGCCTCCTTCGAGACATTGGTGATGGCGTGCGGCACGTTGAAACCAAGCCAGAGCAGATTGCGAACTTCCTTGAATAGGATGATGACTTGCGAGTCGAAGTTGACATGGATCTCGAGGGTGTTCTGGCGAGCTCTGTTCTGCGTGACACTGAATAAGCGTCCGGATATTGATAGGTGTCGTCGGTCGATGTCTCGCAGCCAATCCTCGAAGATCGGCTTCGTGTCTAGCTTCCTTTTGAAGCCGTCGCAAAGCTGATTCAGTCTCGCGCCATCTGTGTGATCTCTCCATTTCTGACCAAGTATGTCTTCTACTTTGGAAAGGTGATTGTCAAGCTGACGCTCAATCTGTTTCGCCCGAATGATGGCACCAGAGATTGGAGGCAGGTCGTGCAGCTGCGCCATACCGTGGGATTCGGACTGGCCGTACTGGTGTGTGAAGCGCTTTTGCAGCCCGTCAATGTCGTCGCGGACATTACTCAGAAGCTGGGCTTGATATTCGGCGATGGCTCCCTTGATCTTTGGCCGAACGAATAGAGCGTTGAATCGGGAGAAGACTCGAAACATTTCGTTGGCCGTCTTTGCGACCGCCAAACGATCTCGCAAACGTGCAATGATAGAATTCTCCACTCGTGCAGTCCGCTCATTGTATGCTGTCTCGGCTTGTGTCCACAATCTCTCGCCTTCAAGAGAAATGTCAAGCACATCAACATCCTTAACGACTGTGTATGCTTGAGCAATTTCCTCAGCTGCGTCGACATCTCCCATCTCTTCAACAATGACGGGGCCGTTTGCGCCATCAGTCAAATCTGCAGGATCCTCCTCTGGACCAAGCACATTGGCAATGGTGTTCTGCAGCTGTTCATGGTCATCTCTGAACTTGAAGATGTACTTGATTCTGTCCTGTGTCTTGTCGTGCCGCTTGTTGATCTTAATAGGAATGAATTTATCGTTTCGTCGTCTCGTCACATCCCGGGCCACGTTCGTAAATTCCTTGACATTATCATCCCAGAACATCCAGACGGTCTGCACCTCTTCAATCTGCTTCTTAAAGTCCGGGAAGCTCATGTGCATCAGCGTTCGGCCATGTAAAAGCTGATGTATTCGCGCGTCCACGTCCGCTGAGATGGCTTCGACTAAAGGCAATGCTCGTTTGATTGGGTACGGGCATATGCGTAGCTTCTTGTTCAAGTGGCTAAACACATCGTCAAGCGCTTCCCGCAATTTCTCTATGGTCGGCGCAGCCAGCAGTTCCTCGATCGGGAAGCCATGGAAAAGCTGGTTGTATCGATTCACTGTATCCTTTGTCTCCTTCAGACGAGTATCTGATTGAAAACTGGCCGTTATACCATGTCTCTTCGCTTTTTCAAGTATGGTCATCGTAAGCTTGACGCCACCACTAGCAAGTTGGGACTCGATGCCCTCGATCGCTGCTTCCATGGCTAGCCAAAAGTTCTTCTCTTGCGATGTTGTCCCAACTGCTCGGTCGTCCGTGATTCTCGTGAACTCGCGTATCTGCTTGATCCAGTCATTGGCCATATTCTGTAATCGATTGAGTATGGAGCTGTCCGTGACGATGCTGTCCGGTATGGCAACCGCCGCAGCATGCCAATCCCCATTCGCCTCGCTGAGCTGCATCTGCACAGCTTCGTGTATCTGTAGTCGCGGCGCTTCGACTTCGATATTCTGCTGTAGGTTCTGTAGGGTGATTTCCAGATCTGCCAGTTTCCGCCGCGCGCCTGATATGCCTGTCCGCGATTCGCCGTCTGATCGCAGCTTCTTGCCTGTACTCTCAGATCCTCTCGCGGCTGCCTCAAAGAACGGGGTGAGTGCTCCTCTCACAAACGAATGCAGACTCTCGTATGGCGATACTGTGGAGCCTGCACCTTCTGCCCCCAGACTCCCGGGCAAGCTCATGTTCACCACCGACACCTGCTTGCTCAGCGGCACATCTGGCACTATCGAGCTTGGCCTCTTCAGGAATGCCACGCAGCCAACTGTCCTGTTGGAGTAGCTGACCTCCGAGCTCAGCACATATGTATCTTGATGATGCTCGCTGTCTCCATTCGTATATGTGCCAATCTCCTTGCCCTGCGTACCCGTCGCACCCGCCTGCTTGAGTACGTACAGCGCGACTTGAGCTTCCAGGGCAAACCGGAGACATCTTGCTAGCGTGTCTTCTATGACACTCTCGTGGAGCAGACTGCCCGGACCTCGCAGCTCGTCGTCGGTGGCTCCCAGCGTCACTTCTAACACCCTGCTCAGGTATTGAATAACTGCCTGGGGGTCGACGGCGGAGGATGCTGGGGTCGGAGCTGGTGCAGGCGGGTTGCCATTTGCCGCCCCGACACCGTTGACCCCTTGGACCACGGGGTCCTCCATCTTGATGTGTTACGAGCTAGCGGTGAGGTCGGTCATCGGTATGGTGATTATCCTGGCCTGCTATTTTGTGGTTCTTGGCACAAAGTATCGTTTCAGGAGGGTGACGTGTCGTGAAAGCGAGTGTTGGTCTGACCGATTATCCCGAGACACCACAATGGGATAGGGAGGATGATATTTCGATGTAGCGGGCGATGTTCGGTGTCTCTGGGCGATGGGTGACGGTGTTGATGAACTTCCGCTTCTTGCGACGCGAGTCGCGCTTTCCCAGTTGCCGTGAAGCGGCAGGGATTACCCCAGTCCGCTGCAGTCACGTGATATGAAATATGTCTTCTCTTTCACTGTGCTATGCTATCAATATGCAATATGCCATCTCTGATCTTGAATTCACGTCCTGTGAGCTGCTCGATAGGAATTACAACTCTTCTCCTAGAGCCGGAAATCTGCAGGGATTACTTATGGTCACTGGCCTCAAAGCCAGAGAATGAATGTTCATTTGTCTGTAAGGCTAGACACAAGGTTTCGCTCACAACGACCACATTGCTTGTTCACAATCTCAACGACCACATGAGAAATTTCTTCAAGCCGCATAGGATCATTGGAAGTGAAACGGATCGCAGATCGATCAACATGCATCACTTCATCTTCTCCAGCATAAAGACAACCCTAACCCTAATGATGCCCTCAAGAACACAGCCAAAGTCATTCCAACATCGTGCGAAAGGAAGAATCTGAACAGAAAGCATGTGTTGATCTATTATTGTCAAATATAACTTGTCTCTATCCATCGCTCGCATAGACACTCCGATCCATCATCGACGTCGTCACATCTTCATCTTCTCCTTCTGTCTCGGCCTGCTCATCACCATCATCATACACTGTCTCATTCACCCTTCTGGCACATGCACGATGAACAATGGAGCCCTTCTCCATGCCTTGCTTCGTTTCACGAAAACCGGTCGTCGTCTTCTGGGTATCACAAATGACCGTACTCTACCCCTTCCTCTTCTGTAACGAGCCGCCCGGTAAGTCACTTCGTGAGAGATCTGTTATCCTTTATCTTCCAAGAAAGCGAAAGTCAATCTGACATCACCAACGCTTTCAAACAAAGTCCGCCGAATAAGAGAAGCCCCGGAATTCTTCCTGCATGGCTTGCGAAAGAACTGCGAGTCCAAGTCAGTATGGCATTCATATGGCGTGTATCGCGCTTTGATATGAACTTACCAGATTGCACCGGCGTCAAAACGGGCGTCACGCTGGTGAACTCAGAATCGAAATTGCTCGTGTCAGCCCTGCTCTTCACCGTCGGCAGGAATGGCGGTGGCACTCGCTTGTAATAGACATCTTCCCAGTTGACGTTCCTGAAGAAAGGATGGCTCATGATCTCCTGTGCGTCAGTTGGTCCTGATCCCAACCTGAGCTCGGGCTCCCTAGTAAGCAGTTTTTGTAGGATGGAGACGCTATCTCTCGGCATGTGGATGGGGTACAGAGGCTCATCTGCCAAAATGGCATCGTAAATCTCGTCCTCGTCCTCTCCGCGGAAAGGAGATTGTTGCAGGAGCATTTGGTAGATCAGCACACCGAAAGCCCACCAATCCACTGCCCGACCATACTTCTTGTCGAGCAGAATTTCCGGAGCCATGAATTCGGGCGTTCCGCAGAAAGTACTAGTTGTTGACCCATACCACATGTCCTCCTTGCAGAGACCGTAATCGGCAATCTTGATGTGACCATCCAACGTCAACAGAATGTTGTCCAGTTTCAAGTCGCGGTAGATGACGCCATTCTCGTGGAAATACTTCAACGCCAAGCAGACTTCTGCAGCATAGAACTGGGCGCGCTTAGTCCCGAACTGTCCTCGCTGGATGTGCAACATCAGGTCTCCACCACTGATGTACTCCATGACAAAGTATATCCGGGTTTCGGTCTGGAAACAAGCATGCAGGTTGGTGAGGAACGGGTGTCGTTCCTTGTTTGCTATCAGGAAGACTCGCTTCTCCGATCTGGTGCTCTCAACTTCGTCATTCTCGATGATGAACTCCTTCTTGAGCACCTTGATTGCATAGAGCTGTTTCGTGGTCTTGGTCTCGGCAAGCATAACTTTACCGAAGTTACCCTTTCCGAGCACAGCAAGGAAGTTGAAATGGTCCAGACCGATGCGGCGACCAGTACCGGCGGTATTAGCGGGAGGCGCTGGTTTCCTTTCTTCGGCGACAGGTGCGGTGATAGACACATTCGGCTGCTGCATCGGTGGTGGCGAGACTGGAGGCTGAATTTGTGGAACTTGTTGTTGCGGCTGGTACTGCTTCGCTGGGACTGGCGGCTGTTGTTGAGATGGCTGTTGGAACGGCGGGCCAGATGAATAGCCCGAGACTGCGGCATAATCTGCTGGATTGTAGGTCGGCTTCTGCTGTCCTGGTGGCGCTCGTTTGCTCTCCGCATAACCATCTGCGTAGGAAGTACGCTGCTGCTGCTGCAATTGTTCTGTCGATCCCCGGCTGTAAGGCTGGCGAGGTTCTTGAGGGCGCTGACCTGATAAAGCAGCAGAAGCTGCGAGTGCTGCAGCTGCGGATTGCGATGATTGCGTTCGTTGTGCTTGAGGACGATGTGTATCCGGAGATGATGGAGCGGACTGCCCGGTGGTCATAGAAGCCTTCGCAGCTTCTGCAGCACCTGCACCAGGAGGTCCGAAGGAAGAAGTGCGAGGTGGTTGATCATAAGAATCAGACATGCGCTCCTTGCCGTATGAAAATCTGTCACGATCTTGAACCCTCGCCGGATCATCTCTTTGCTGCACCTGGTCCTGATGGCTTGGTGAAGGTGCATAGCTTTGAGCTGATGGCGGCGTGGGTCTGCCCGATGTCGCTCCTGAAGGTGGCCGAAGCTTTGAGCTGTTCTGCAGCATTCTGCTGGTCTTCGTCTTCTTAAGCTCTGCGAGAATCTTGTTCGCACTTTCCAGGCTCATACCACAGAAGTCTGGTACGAAATGGATGCAGTTGGCATGGCACGTCAATTTGCACTCTGAGCACTTGCGAGACTGTTTCCTGCCAAGAGGCAAAATGTATCCGCAATGGCAGCACCAATTTGCTCCCATATTCGAAAAGTTTTCGAATCGATGAGGAATTCGGTGGTTGATCTTCTCCTCATCGGGATCCGTCTCAGCGTTGGACTTGCTTATACACTTGGTGACCACTTTCGGGTAGCACTGCTTGTGACATGTGTACTTGCAATCCGCACACTGCATGCCGGCAGTATACTTCAAGAATTCTCCACACAGCGCGCAGCGCATGATGTTGTAAAAGGTCTGGACAGTGAACTTGTGTCCATATTGTTCGACGACATCTTCCTTCTTTTGGCGGACGGCACCCTTTCTGTTGAGACCAACGTCGAAAGGTCGGCGATCTTTGACTTGCTTCACAAAGCCAAGCGTGAGCTGTATCCTGCCAATTGGCTCAAGTGAAAACCAAGCGTCGACATATACAGGTCCTGTTTGCGGAGCAAGGCCAGAGCCAGCCGGTCCAGCTGCTGCAGCGGCTGTTGCTCCTCCGCCAGAAGCCCCAGCGCCGTGTGCTGAATTCGGAGGCGGCGAGAACTGCATATCTGGCCGAGATTGAGATCCGTCCATCTTGTCGGCAGTTATCCAACCAGCTTGATTGAACTCGGACTCAATCCGTTTCCGTCGGATCTCATCAACAAGGTCAGACAGTCGAATCCACAAAAGGCCGATTGGAATGGGATGGTCTCCGCTGGTCTTGTCGTAGACCGTGAATTCAATTTCGTTAGCCTTGTCCACGTCAAACTCATGCTGCTCGTCTGTCCATCGATCCGTCTTTGTGGCTTTGGTCCTGCCTTTGAATGCGTCTTCGACCTTCATAATGACGAATGTATCAGGGCCACGGGAGAATCTACCAGACGCGGCGTGATCCACGTCTGCTATGCCGTGAATTCTGACCGACAAGTGTCCAGTAAGCGGCTTTCGCTGACTAGGCGTGTCCAAGCTGTCATCGTCGCCCGCATCCGCTCCATTCTCTACATCGATGTGTAGGTCCTCATATCTTCGGAGTGCTCTCGAAAGCAGCTGGATCTTTTGAGCGCTCTCCATACGTCGCATCTCAGCCTCACCCTTGCTCTTGCGATCGCCTTCCATCTGGTAGAGTTTGACCATTTTATCAATGCCGTCCTTGTACTGCTTCTCCACACTAAGTTTGAACTCGAGTTGTGACAACATGAGCTGGATGCGAGGACCCAGATGCGCCGTGTCATATTTGATTAGGTCTATTGCTGTCAGACTCTCCACATACCGCAAAAGCTTCTTTGCACTTACCCAGCTTGCTGTAATTCGGACGTGCTTTGGGAGATCGATCTGAAGGAGCAGACGAGTATGGTGCTCGTGGTGGCATCAACCCCGGAGCCCCGCCCATGCTGTAGCCACCGTGACCTGGAGCTCCATAGTCTGCTCCACCACCGTAGCTCTGTTGGTTATCGTGGCCAGAGCCGGAAGAGCCTGCACGTCCGTGAGCAGATCCGGCAGGTCCGCCATTGCTTGACATGGAAAGATTGTTCATGTCATTGCCCATTCGCCGTGCGCGCAGGTCATTGAGCGTCTGCTCGAAATACTGGATGTTTCGTCTGGCATCGCGTACTTGTGAATCTGCTCTACTAGTCACAGATACGTTGTTGGAGGCCTGTTTCAGGTGGTTGGCGGCATTGATTATGGCTTTTTCACGATCGATCTTGCGGTAGATCTCTTGCATGGCATTGTCGTCGTTCATGCTGGCGGTGTTGCTGCTGGCCGCGGCGGGCGGCGGAAAGAGCTGTGCCGGGAAAGAATAAGGCAGAGACTGCCTGTGCCTTTGCCTCTATCGTAGGAGCTTGTGATATGCCGGCCGACTTCCTCAGGCCGTGGCACGTGTGCTGCCTGGTTAGAACGAATGCAGCGCGCGGGCTTCCGGCGATGGTGCTGGACGAGATCCAGCTAGCGACTCAACGCAGAAGAGCAGCTTGCGTGTGCAGCACGTGCGCTGGGCCGTATGGGTTCGCCGGTAGGAATGGGACGGTGCGCGGCGGCGGCGGCGGGTGGCCTCTCGAAAAGATTCCAAACAACCTTGAACGCACGCAGTAGTGCACTCACACTCTCAGCGGCGGACAACAGCACGGCCGTCCGTGGTGCCTGCAGTCGGTGTCTGCCCGTCTGTCTGGGCGGCGGGAAAGAGCAGTGCGGCAGGCTCTTCACCTGCACTCCTGCACTGAATTATGAGACTGCTGCAGACAGCCCGCGGTTGTCCGGAGACGTCGATGTCGCGGCCAGAGAAGACAAATGGCTCGACGACGACGTCAGAAGTAGGTTCGACTAGAGTGCGATGAGCCACAATCAATGTGGGCTATTATTTGCCGCGTGCGTGCGTGCGTGCGTATAGGCGGGAGTGGCGATGCCCTACTGCTCGCTCGCATGAACCATCCGTCCGCTGGTTGTGTTGGATCGCGGCTGGCAGAAGAATAGACAAGATGGAGAGACGTGCGGATACGGGCAGTCGAGAGGTTGAAGGTGGTGGTGGTGGATGGCGTGTGCGAGGCCGACCTCATCAAGCGGGGACATCAAATCGCTTGTTTACGCTGCACTGCACTGCACTGCACCACTTCTGCCCAACCACATGCCCAACGTTGGAGATTATTGTGTTTGCCTGCATACAATAGACAGCAGCAGAGCTCTGCTGATCTGTGAGAAGGCCTGGCCAATTTCCAGGCAGAGGCCCGCGCTGAAACCAAAACACAGCATGCAAAAGTGAAATCTTGGAATCAGTGGCACACACCAGAAACACGCAGCCCGGCCAGGATCCTCCGTCGCAGTCGTCACAGATCTGATCATCTTTCCGGTACCACCGTCGATACAGAGCTACCCATGAATATGCAGTATGCCGCTACGACGCTATTCGTCTGGGGGTCAGGCGGCTGTGGCGTGTGCTCTTAGGTTCGCGCTTCTCATGCGGTTATCTATTGCTGAATGATCGGGAGAGGCTAATAGTAAGGACCTTATTCTAGTTCTATACGAATGCAACCGTGCAGATCTTCCATATCAACTGTCTAACACCATTCGTATTTCTCGTTGCATATCCAGTCGACATCCTTCCACGATCCTTCACCATACCAGCGTAGACTCGTGACGCTCTCTGTCTCGCGGTGTTCGACGGCTGCAGTCGGATCAATTAATTGCGCTGCTGCAAGTGCCGCGGAAGATGGGTTCCAGAGCATCACTTCATGCATGTCCCACCTTCTGGCTTCAGATTGTGCCACAGTGAAAACGCTGGATATTGCCTGTGCGACATGGCTATCTTTCAGTGATCTGGCCGTCTCAACATCTGCCGGAGCGAAGTCCGACAAAGCGTCATCCTCAATCACCAACCTCAGTATGTGTAGCGTGCTGGGAGAACGTTCCTGCGGATTGGCCCATACACGAGTCCAGTACGCCCAAACACGTGAGCCCTCCTTATCGCCCACCATCGCTCCCTTCACTTCCGGGACCATGCCATGAATCTCCTTTGCAACAAATTCCTCGCGTGCGTGATGCCACGCCGCATGCCGAACATCAGGGACGATGGCCACGGTAGACCTGCTGCTTGGCTTGATCTGAGACATGCGTTGGTGGAGCAGCTTCTCATCGTAGGCACAGAGCTCGGGTAGATCGCGACTTGTGAGGAGTTTGACGTTATCCGGAGCAGGAGACTCTACAACCGGGAGCAGCACATGTGCCGACGGGAACGGATGCCATCCTCGCGCCGCATAGTAGTCCTTGCCAATGTCCGAGAACAGCACACTAAACAGCGCAGTCTTGCCGTTGTCCGTTTGCCAGGTCTTGATCCGCTCCCCGAGCTCGGTCATCATTCTACCAGCGTAGCCGTTGCCACGATTTTGGGCAGGGCAGTATACAGAAGCCACGCCATGAGATAGCACTTCTTCGACGTTGCCGTGCCTAGCAGCGAAGGCTCTCTTGTTGATAGTTTCGCAACCACAGAGCACAGTACGCTGTCCACTGGCATCTGGCTCCCAGACCAGAACCCAGCCCGTGATTCCACCGTCTCTTGTCAGGTCTTGGCTGAAGAGGTGCTTTTCTCGGTTCAAATACGAGTGCAGAGACAGGACGCCTTTCCATTCATCGCTGTTGGCGAGCTGTTGTGCCAGCCATTCGTCCTCGGTTGCTTGCACTAGATGCAGGTTTGGCGAGTTCTTGTCGGGAAGACCTGTGCTGCCCATTATTGTAGTGACTTCAGTCGAGAGTTGACTACCGAAAGGAGAGAAGAAGTGTCGTGACTTAGCGATTTCAAGCCCGCTTTCAATGCTTGGTTTGTTCTACTGTATACCAAATTGCAGATACGACTGAGGCCACAAAGTTGATGTGCCGGTGACCTAAAACGTCACTCGTACGAGGTAGATGGCATGTAATACTAGGGCGTGACATCGGACTGATTGTGAGGGCGCTTGGAGGAGGAAGTGCGCAGACTTTGAGGTTCGGCGTTGCAGGGAAAGCTTCTGCTGTGAAAGTCGTGGGAGGATGAGATGCCGGATAGAACCTAGACCTCGCGGCGGCCATTCCATGGTGATAGTCTGATAGAGTGTCATCAATGCAATCAATTTCCTCGTACACATCTGTATTCCGGTGATCCGGGCACGTCCAGCACAATAATGTGGGCGATGTGAAGACGTGGGCCAGCGTCTCTGCCGCCGTATCGGCGCTCTGATGTGCTTGGCGTTCTCGAGAGGGCCCGCTCGCACACTGCAACAGGTGCAAGTCAAGTCAAGGCAAAAGCGCGCTGCAGCAGAGCAGAGCAGAGCAAAGCAAAGCAAAGCAGCGCGTTACGCTCCCGACTGTCTGTTCCCGCCGGCGGAGGTCCGAAGTGAATGGCAATAAAAGGCGGCTCTGTGTGAGCCATGAAGCGCAGGTCTCACTCTCACTCTCGCAGCACGTTCGTTCTTCTCGCGACGCGCTGCTTGGAGCCTTCCCTGTCACCAGTCAGGCTGACCGCCCGCCGGTGAGGAACACCACCAGCACAGAAACTTCGACCTGGCCCTTGATAGGCAGCATCTGGCCTTGCGAGCACTGTGCCCCTCCCGTGCCGTCCCTTATAGCGAGCGGCCTCACAAGTCTTGCCGCCGACTCCCACGCGCGGACTGCCCCTCGCATTGCTACCACTCTTTGGACACAGGCTCAGGCATCAACCTTTCTATTGCCGATACCGTCGCTTCACTCCTTCTGCTTCACGCCACGCCGGTGCAGTCTCTCGAGACAACTTCACGTGCTTCAATCGTACCGCAGGAAAATCCCCCGGCCTTCTCTCCTGCATCCAGGCATACATCGCTGGCCCAAAGCAATGGCTTCATCTTCCGCCAGCCGAGCCAGACCGCCGCCAACTGTCATTGATCTGATCAGCAGCGACGGCGAAGATGATGCGGATGTCGCGGCCATGCGGCCTCCGCGTATGGCTGCACCACCGACGCTTCGGGCACACGCGCCTCATCTGCTCGAGGCACCGATCATCGTCAACCACAATCATGATCATGATCACCGCAACAATAACCACCATCAACATGGTCAATTTGCTGCTCCCAAGCAAGAGCGATCCTCGACCCCACCAGCACCGACGCGAGAGGGCGGGCAGTTCGTGCTTGTCGATGGCGAAGAGATATTTATCCCCCACAGTCCTGAGTCTTCACTTGGCACTTTACCGCCGACTCCGCCTGCAAACTCTGCATCTCAGCACCAGACTGCCATGGACGAGGAAGTTGCCTTGGCTATGAGCGACTTCACCGCGGATAGCTGTCTGCAGAGGATTCTCGGGATCTTCCCAGATGTGAGCCACGAGTATGTCTTGAATCTCTACGAAGAAACTGAAGGCGTGCACTATGGCGCTCAGCATGCCTCTTCCAAGTTCGAGAGAATCGTGGAGAAAGTCATCTCTAGTGACTACCCAAAACAAGGCAAGGGTAAGCAGGTGCGAAAGCGCAAACGTGAGGACGACGATGCCGAAAGCGACGCCAAGCGCTGGACTCCCGATCGTGTCGCAGTGCCATCACAACACAAGGCCATCCAGGACATCATCAAAGCCGACTTCCCGGAGTTTAGAAGGGCCGACATCATACAGGCCCTCAAGCAGCACGCACATCTATTCCAGACGTATGTGGCCGTTGCGAACATCAAGGACAAGAATGATAGTACCATTCCTTTCCGAGGTCGCCCATCGATTTCGCGCGCTGATGCCGAGACGATTGCCGCCAACTCAGGCTTCGAAACCCTCGTCGACGAGCTTCGAGCTGCACGCCAACGAGTCGTCGTTGTTCGAGACGAGAGAGCTCTTGCGCAAATGAGAGAACAGGTTGAGGAAGCGAATCTTCAACAGGCAGTGGCAGCTGGTGAGACAGCAGAATGTCAGGCGTGCTTCGAGAACCTTCCCATGAATCGACAGATCCATTGCAATGGCGAAGTAGCGCACTGGACCTGCTTCGAGTGCGCCACTACATACATCAAGACTCAGGTTGGCGACTCACGCTGCAAGGTTCTCTGCACGGCAGGCTGCGGCTCCGGGTTTGCACATGCTCAATTACATCTTCTCGAAGACAAGCAACTCCTGGCCAAGCTTGAACAGCTGCAGCAGGAGAAAGACATCCGCGATGCAGGCCTTGAAGATCTGGAAGAATGCCCTTTCTGTGATTACAAGGCCATTCTCCCGCCAGTCGAGGAAGACTTCGAGTTTCGATGTGCCAACCCGGAGTGTGAGAAAGTCAGCTGTCGCCGATGTAAGTCTGTCTCGCACATTCCGCGTTCTTGCGAAGAGCACGCCAAGGACAATAGACTTGATAGCCGGCACAAGATCGAAGAAGCAATGACTGCCGCAATGTTGCGATCATGCAACAAATGCAAAAAGCAGTTCATTAAAGATTATGGATGCAATAAGATGGTAAGTGACACTTTAACTTCCGCTTGGAAAAGGCACGCTGTCGGGTAATGCGCGAGTATGCTGATTGAGACCGCAGTCCTGTCCTTCGTGCGGCAACCTTCAGTGCTATGTGTGCTCTGCTGATATCAAAGAATATTCTCACTTCGACCAAGCTCCTCATGGCCTCCCACAAGGTGGCCAGACTTTGAATGGCGCCAAGAAATGCCCGCTCTACGACAATGTCGAAGAGCGTCACGAGCGTGAGGTCAAGGAAGCTGAAGCTGCTGCTCGCGCACAGGTCTTGGACGACAATCCCGATGTGACCGAAGAAGATCTCCAAATCAAGGTTTCTGAGAAGGTCAAGAAGGCTGATGCGGATCGAATCAAGCGTGCTGGTGGGGCCATTCCAGGAGGCTATGGAGCTGGAGCAGCAGGTTTGTTACTAGCAGGCCCGATTCCATTCCTAGGCCTGGGTGCTGACGAGGACGACGAGGATGGTGATCTATTTGACAATGACGAGGAAAACAATGATGCGGCTTTAGTAACACACCCTCCCCGTATCCCAGCAAGACCACAGGTTCGCGCCCGCGCTGCCATGGCTAGAGATGTGGATCAGTTCAGAGCGAGAGTGGAAGTATTAACCCGAGCGAGACTCGGACTAGGCGGACATATTGCTGGCCACGAAAATCAGGCGCACTTGGCTCGACCACCGCAGCCCGCTCATGCTCGCGGTTTGGCTCATCGACTTCCAGCACAGGCACAAGGTATGCGTGTTCGCCAATCGCTCATTTGGTATCTCACTAACCATTCGTCACAGGTCCTGGACATCTTCTCGGTGTATTCCCACGACCACCATTCGGTCAACCATTGGCTCCAGCACCTGCAGCAGCACCCGCAGCAGCACCCGCTCCCCAGCCAGCACATCGTAATCCGCAAGCAGATCTATTTGCCGGCCTTGGCGCGGGCCAAATTGTTGGTGCACGTAATAATGGCCTCGGAGGCCCACAAGGACTCTTCGATGCCTTCGCGGAAGACCCCTTTGGAGGAGGAGGCCCTGATCCATTTGCCTTTGTGCGTGTTCCCCCTCACTTCAATGAGATGGCACAGCCGCAGCACGACTGGAACGCAGCTAGGGAACAACAACGACAAGCTCTACAGAATATGCATAATCGCGCCGGCGGTACCGGACAAGTGAGAGCGCTCAATGGAAATGATCCGTATCGCTACAACGGCTATGGGCGAGGGTTTCCGGGTGCTCCACAGGCAGGATGAAGTGGTCGGTGGAGTTTTTCTCTTGAGTATCTCATCCTCGAGACAGTGTTTCGGTCACTGTACCTCGGACATTTGCTGCAATAATGAGCGTTAAGCGTATGGCAAGCGAGGCGTTGGAAGAATCGATATAGCACAGCATTTTTTTTTAGAAAATCTCAAACTCCAATCTGCTCAAAAGTACGAGCCATTTCCTCACAACACCGGCCTCCCCGACTTCGACTTCGGCACAAGACCATGCAAAGCACCCAATGTTCATCCGATGCTTCGGTGAAGCAAGAGAAAGGAAGTCGGCAAGAGAAAACGCCTGCCAGTATAATACCTAAAGCGCTAGCAGTACGCCACCCTGGGTGAACCCGAAATAGAACATCGCTAACCAAGACACGGAGCGGTAGTTTCTACTGCCGTAGCCGTCCGGCGCGTAGACGCGTTTGTTTACTGTTTCCTATATTGTCGCCCTTGCTGCCGCTCGCAGTAGTATACGCTTTATAGAAGGTATTATTGTCGCCGCCTTATATTTACTCGCTCTTATTATTATAATAATACTATCTCTATTATATTATAGCTTCCGAGACCTTGTTATCGCCGCCGCCGCCGCCGCCGCCGCCGCCTAGTATCGCGAGAGTCGCGTTAATCGTTACTTCTATAACCGAGCGGCTATCTATAGCGAGTCTATTAAATTCGGCAAAGCGAGACGAGATTATCGACTATCTCGTTAACAACCGTAACGCGTCGAAGCCTCCTCCGGTTAAGTGTATTTAGTTACTAAATACTAGTAATAAGGACTAGGCGTTAGAGAATAGTAAGGACGACAGCTATAGTAAAGAAGGTAACGAAGAACGCGATAGCGTAGAGAGTAGTAGTAGTAAAGAACGCGATAGCGTAGAGAGTAGTAGTAGTAGTAAAGAACGCGATAGCGTAGAGGGTAGTAGTAGTAGTAAAGAACGCGACGGCGTAGAGAGTAGTAGTAGTAGTAAAGAACGCGACGGCGTAAAGGGTAGTAGTAGTAAAGTCGATAATAGCGCGCCTTCTACGATACCTCGTCGTCGCGGAAAGCATATTAAAGTATTAGTTGTCGAAGATAGCTATACTATTCTACGCGCGCCTAGCAATCTTAGAGCGCTACGTAAGAAGTAGCTAGCTATATTAGATAATCTAGACAATAACGAGAGTAAGAAGGGCTTTATAGTGCCGGCGGCGGAGTTTAATATAATATAGCTATTTATAGACAACTTCTAGGTATATATAGCGCGTCGAGCTAATAAGCTCGGTCGCTTCTATACGCTATATAAGTATAGATTTAGCTTTAAGGCGTATTAGTAGAGGTAGAAGCACTATAGTAGATATAAGCGGAAGAAGGAGAAGAAGATAGAAGAGGCCGTAGCGTATCCGCTTACGATACGTATTAACGAGAACATAGCGCTCGAGAATAAGGACGATCCGGATAGCAATTACGTAGTAGTTAGCTATACTATCTTCCGTAACAATCGGCGGCTAGTCGACTACTATCTAGGCTACTGCCTGCGAAAAATAGATATATATCGCCTATATAGCGCTCTTTAGAACGCCGTTAGTTAGTAGGTATATACTAGCTAGCGACTATACTAGGTATAGGACCGAATGCGTAGCAAAGACTACAAAGTCGCGTACGAGACATTCTAAGCCGCTAGCGGCGATTAGATAACGCGCAACGACGTAATTAACTACGGCCGACAATACCGGAAGGTATTTAAGAATAGTAGACTTAGTAGAAGCTTATTAATATAGTAGTAATAGCAGGTAGAGTATTAGAAGTAGCTCGAAGAAGGTATGTTTATATTGCTAAGTTAGTATTGTTTACTGCTCGAAGTTCGAAATCGGGAGCTTCCGTATAGCCGAGGCACTATTTTAGCTAACTACGGATCTCCGCTTTAGCGGACGAGCCCGCCGGCTTTCCCCGCTCGAATCCCCGACACTTTAAATTCCTAGAATTCTATTGTTTTAATTATACAAATAATATACTAATACTACTAAACAGAAGGCTTCTTTTGTACTAAAGTATACGCTAAAAGTGTAAGAAGGGTTATGTTAGTAGGTAGATAGGGTAGTAGTAAATTAGTTTAGTATTCGATAGAGATCTAGGAGGAGAGGGAGGAAGGTAGGAGAGTTATCGTAGCGGTAAGCGCTAAGCCCTGCCTAAGGCATTAAGACCCTAGCTTCACTCGGCCTAGTTATATACTAATTACGTGTAGCCTCTTTAGCCCTAATACACGCTTCCCTTCTAAAGGCCGCGCCCTCGTAGCCGGTCTTTGTTCTAGTCTCAACCCCTATTACTACTAACTTAGTAGGTCTAATAAGCCGCTTAGTCCGCGCCGAATTAAATACTTAACTACCTAATTATATAACTATATTAAACCTTACCTTCTAACACAATGTCTAACTCTAACTACGCTATCCCTATATATAGATAGATAGATAGATATTTCATTTGCCTATTGTAGTGCCTTTCGGCCTATGCAGGTCTGTTTCTATGTATTGTTTTAGGTAGGAAACTAACTTAGTTGGTAAAAACCTCTCTCCTATCCTATTTATAAGTATTAATCTTCCTCGTTTCCTTGTTTTCCTTCCTTTAGGGTATACTAGTATTATAGTTGTTACCCTCTAACTACCTTGCCTACTACCCTGCCCTTCTTTCCCCCTCTTCTTCCCTCCTTCTTATCTACTCCTTAGTTTCCCTTGCTAGTGCGAATTGTTATATAAATCCCTGTTTAATAATCCACTTTACTATCCTCTTTAGGTCTTCTTTGCTCTAGATTAGCTTATCGTATTCCCTTTCTATTGCTTTTAGTCTCTAATTACTTCTACCTTCTAACTATTAAGGGTAGACTAGCAGTATATGCTTAGGGTTCTAAGATTGGTAGCTATATTAGTAAGCTCTACTTTCAATTCCTAGGACGTTTCTTCTAAACAGGTAAGATCTAAGTCTAATGTGTTTAGATCTAATTTAGATAGCTAGGCTTGCCTCGGCCCTGTTTAGGTCCTTATAGAGCTAGTAGTTGTATTAACCAAATTTGATTAGTGCCTTTAGGGTTCCTAGTCTAACTTGTGTTTTATTCTATTCCTACTCCTATAGGTATCTAGTAATTGATTCTGCTAGGCTTTGTTTCTCTCCCTTTAGCTTATCTTCCTTTAGCCTTATGTTTAGTCCCTAACGCTCTTTCTCTAGTATTTCTCTTATTAAGACTCTATATTGCTCTAGGTCTTTAACTTTCTAGGGAGTTATTTGTAGTCTGTCTCGCCTCCTAGTCCTAATACACTAGGCTTTTATCTTATCTAGTGCCTTTTGGATAGTCTATTAGGCTAGGTATTCTATTGTCTTTGCTGTATATTAGTGTCTCAGTCCCTTAAAGTATTGTTTGACTAATAGGATCCTTAATTCCATTTCCACTACCCTTATTAGTATAGTTTTGTATACTCCTAGGATTTTCTTTAGGCTTTAGGTTTAGGACCTGCTAACTAGTTGCTTAATCCTCTTTAGTGTTTTCTCCTAGGCTATCTATATCTATACTCTATATAGCATTGCTAGCTTGACAATTGCTTTGTATATAACTTTAGCTTTCTCGAATATAGCCCCCTATATAGAGGCTATAAGCCTATTGATAGATTGTATATTAGTATCTGCCCTCTACTTTGCCTTCTTTACTTATAGTCCCTAATTTAGTTTTGGATCTAGCTAGATCCCTAGTATCCTGAGTTCTGCTAATAGTTAGGTTTCAAAGCCCTAGATAGTAATTGATTGCTTTATATTATAGGTTGATTTAGCCTTACTAAAGTAGATAAGCTAGTACTTTTCTAGGGCGAATTTTGCTCTATATCTCCTTACCTATTTCTTATACTCCTAGTGCTTCTCTTCTAGGATCTTACAGTTAGTTTCTATTGTCTTAGACTAGGCTAGGATGTTTGTATTATCTATAAATCCTAATGCTAATGTGTTTTTTGATTCTAGGAGTAGGAGTAGGTCTACTATAAAGATAAGGAAGAGGATTAGGGAGAGTATTAATCCTTAGGGGATTCCCTTTTCAGTTAGCATTAGGTCTGATTTGAATTTGCCTAGAATAAGCTGTGTTAATCTTTCCTATAGGAAGGACTGGATGAATTAGACTATCTAGTTTAGTATAGCTTTCTATTTAAGTATATATAGGAGCCTTTTATAGGAGACATCGTTAAAGGCTCCTAAGATATTAAGGGAGAGGAGGGTTGCTACCTAGTTTTAACTATAGTGCTAGATATGCTTAATCTGTTCTATAATTAGTTCTATAGCTGTTAGTGTTAACCTCTTCTTTCTTCCTCCTATCTAGCCTTTAGGAAGGATATTCCTTTCCTCGGTAAAGGTTGTTAGCCTTTTAGCGACAATTTTTTCTAGCACCTTGCCTATTATATTAAGTAAGGCTATTAGTCTGTAGGCCTTGAGCTGTATATAGTCTTCCTTCTAGGGCTTCCTTAGCACTACTATTAGGGACTTCCTAAATAGTCTTAGGTAGTGTCCTAGTGCTAGGCTTTGTAAAAAGATATTAGCTAGTGCTAGGGCTAGCCCCTTCCTATATGCTTTTAGAAGTTTGTTATAGATCTTGTCTTCTCCTAGTGCCTTATTGCCTAGAATTTTCTTTAGGATCCTTTTAATAGTTTCGGGTTTAACCTAGGTATCTCCTAGTATACCTAGTAGTAGAGTCTCTTATTCTTTCTCCTTTATATCTAATAGGTCTGCTTATACTTTTCTATAGAAGAAGTGTTAGCCTAAGGCTCTTACTTTCCCTTCTATTGTAGTCTGTATTTGTCCTTATTAGTCTATAATGTCCGGGAATTGTAGTAGTATATCCTTATCCTATTTAGGTCTCCTTACCTATTTAGCTATCCTCTATATCTCCTCTAGTTTCTTTATAATTATTCCTATTGTAGATCTCTATTCTTGTATCTTGTCCTTCTTAATCTAGATCTTCTTTTCTTAGTAGGCTTTGTTATAGTTGTCCTATACTTCCTAGGTATAGGTTTGTGTCTACTACCTCCTAGCCTTCCTTGCTGCTTTAACCTTCCTTATATACTTACTAGTCTAGTATAGTTGCTAGTATAGTAAATGTTTCTTTGCTAGGGTATGCTTTCTAGCTACCTGTTTTAGGATTCCTATTAGTTCTTCTACTGCCTTATTAATGTCCTCTAGCCTTAGTAGATGTTTTATTAAAAGTTCCTCTAGTTTTAGGTCCCTTTCTAGTTCCTCCCTAATTCTACCCTATTAGGCACCTTTCTAGTTAAGCTTCTCCTCTAGTTCCCTTTCCTAATTAGCTTAGACATTTAGCTTAATCTATACCGGGAAGTAGTCTAATGATTCTTCTAGTTCCTAGTTAACCCTGTATCTTGTAATCCTGTTCCTAATCTAATATAATGCAAAGTATAGGTCTAGTATACTACTACTTCCTCTTACCTCCTAGGTAATCAGTCCCTTTAGGGTAACAATTTCTATTCCTTCCCTCTCTAATATATCAATTAGTCTTCCTGCTAGGAAGTAGTAAGCTAGGGTAAAGTCTAAGCCCTAGAGGGGGTAGTAGAGGTTGAAATCCCTAAGTAGGATTTAGTAGGTGTTCCCCTAGATAACTCTAGGTAGTCTCTCTAGGGTTTTTAGTTAGGTACTACTTCTTAAGTCTAGTAGTAGGTTGTATATACAGTAGACTTAGAGTGTACCTTAGGATGTCTCTACTTAAACTAATGTTAGGTCTCTATCCTCCTATAGTATAGCCTACTAGGTTTCTGTATCTATCTCCTTACTAATGTAGATGTATGTCCTTAGGGCTCCCTAGTTATAGATAATTAGGTAGTATCTTAGGTCTTTAACTGTTACTAGTCTCTTTGTATATAGGTTGAGCTAGGGCTCTTAGATTGCAATAATGTAATATTCTTTTGGGTTTAGTACTTAAAGGAAGCTCCTCTATACCTTGTCTTTGCTTTTGTTGATATTGTACTATACGATGTTTAGTAATGTTGCAATATTTATTAGGTTTTATCTATATTATTTCCCTATAAGTTTTCCTTTAGTCTTCCCTCACTTTAGACTAATATTTAACTAAGCTTTGTCTGCCCTACTTCCTTTCCTATAATATTAAGGTATCTTAGTCTCCCTAGTAGCTAGTAACTCTCTTATGCTAGTAAGGCCCTAAATATAAACCTATTATCTTATCTAGACCTCTTTTATAGCACTTAGCTAGGTTGCTTCTGTACCTAGCTGCCCTAGCTTATTATATATCTTTTTGGTGTATTGATTCTAGCTTCCTTTGCCTTCCTAGCTGCCTATATTCTTACTAGGCATTCCTTCGCCTAAGAGGGGTGTCTTTTAATATAGTATATACATCTTGCTTCTCCCTTATATGCCTTACATTCCTTAACCTAGTAATCCCCTATATAGTAGGAGCAGGTATTAGTTGTCTTTATGCACTTAGCTGCTAAGTGTCTATAGTATTGATATTTGAAGCACTGCATTATCCTATAGTTGCTTCTATATATCTCTATTTCTAATCTTTCAAAGTCCTAGAACAACCCCTAGTCTAGTACTATATTAGCTTGCTCTGCACTCCCTATCTAGATAATTAGGGAAGACTGCTTTTTAGTCTCTTCGATTTTCCTTTTAATCTATACCACTTTTATAATCTTTAGGCCTAGGTATGTAGCTTGGTTTTGTCTCTATAGGCTCTTAATATCCTATTCTTCCTTAAAGCTTCTTATTATACTATAGGCTATAATTATAAATTGCTGTTAGGAGACCTTTACTGTTTTCCCTATCTTAGTTGTCTATTCTTTTTGTGTTTCTAGCTTCTTTTTATCCTGCTCTTGTGCTATAAATAGCTTGATTACCCCTTTACCTTCGTTCCTAGCCCTAATTACCTCTTTAACTGCAATTCTTTCTACAATCTCTTTCCCTATAAGTCCTTAGATTTCCTTTTGCTCCTATAGGTCCGTAATATAGACTCTAACTACTGTCCTCGGGGGTTTTAGCGCCTCCTAATTAGCTACTACTGCCTAGGTACGGTAGTTTAGGCTTGTCTCCTATTGTTTCTTCGTAATCTTTGCTACGACTGTATTAGCTACCTTTGTAATTACGTAGCTTGCCTAGTTGTAGATTGCTTTTAGTCCTTTAAGGAGTTCTAAGATTATTATCCTATATGCCCTCTTAGGGGTTCTTCTATCTTCTGCCTTTAGCACCTCCTCTGCCTTAGTATATAGTACTTTCTATTCGTCCTCCCTTCCTTCTTAACTGTCTTCCCTTCGTCTCTAATTGTTCGCTGCCATTTTCTATCAGTTCCTAGGACCCGTATATAGGCAAACGAAACAGTAGGAGTAACAGCAACGTAAATAGGTCTATTTTATCCCTATATATAATAAACTATAAAGTAATATATATCTATAAGAATTAAGGGCCTTCGACTAATTATAATACGAGCGCGTCTTCCCTACTATAATAGGTAGACGTACGAGGTATTGTAGCCCTGCCTCCGCTCTACGTAATGTCGTACCGAGTTCTTTGCGTCTACTCTTAAAAGACTTAGCAATGTCCGCTTCCGAGGGTTTGTCCGCTTCCGAGGGTTATTATTTACTATCGTAGTTTTACTAGCCTAAATTAGTTAGGTTTAGCAGCCTTTAAGTGTTAACTAATTATATCTTTTTAAAAAACTTAGTTCTTCTAGTTTCTGTAGGTAAAGGCTATTATAAGTGTAATAGTTAAGGTTCGCCTCGCTTAAAGGGTTAGAAAGATCGAGGAGTAACCTATTATCCGCAAGATCGACCCCGGCTAGCTTAGCTCTATAGTTTTTGCCCTTAGTTAGTCTATTAGTCGCTTAATCTTTTAACTTAGTTAAAGTTTTGACTCGGCCTTAAAGTTTTAATTAAACCTTTAATAGGCTTAATCTTTTAACTTAGCTAGTATAGTACCTTAGGCTCGTAGTATAGGTAAGGTTGTGCCTATAGCGTAGCGGCAATAGTAAGTAATGTTAATAATAGCGGCGCTAGCCGTCTTAGCGCTATCTTTACCTTCTTCTAACTTCCTTCTTTAACTAACAATAACTCGGCAATACCGTTACTAATATAGCTATATCCGTTCTTTCTTAATAGCAATACACTCCGCAATACTGTTACTAATATAGCCGCGCCGGCCGCGCCGTCCTCGCCGATTGCCTAGGCCTCGAGGCCTCGACAGAATAAGGGAACAAGAGGGGGACCTAAATACTAGGAGAAGGGCCTTATAGGGCGCGTTAGTAGAGAGGTAGTTTCCTAAAAGAGCAGCGGATAGTTAACGCGTTATAGCGCGCTTGTTAATACTCGGTACGCGTTTACTATAGTAGTATAGTCTTATTGTCCTAGTTCGCCGGCCTCTAATTAGTTAGCTAATAGCACCCTAGGGATAGCATTGTTCCTAGGTCTCTTTTAGTAACATTAGCGGCATTATAAGCTCTTAGCCTTCTTCTTGTTCTTTACGCTAGTCCAATATTCGTTTAACAACTTAGTTATATCTTTAAAGGAACCTTTAGCTTCCTATAAGTCCTATTTAGGTAAATAGCCTTGCTATCTTAATAGGTACTCCTTCTTGCCGTTCCTAGTCCGGTGCTATAGGATACGTTCTATAGACTATAGCTCTTCGCTATTAGCTAGTATGTCCTCGGATTTAGTAGGTGCTTTATCCCCTTTACGTAGGTAGTACGGCTTAAGGAGGGATACGTAGAAGGTGTTATAGATAGTGTAATAAGGTAGAAGCTATAACTAATAGGCCTAGGTGCCCCTAGGTTCTCGGATACGGAAAGGGCTAATGTACCTTAGTGCGAGTTTAGGCCTTGTTTTGCTATTAGGCGAGGGGTGTTCGCGGATACGGAGGTTCTTCGTACTAAGCATAACTAGGTCGCCTTGCTTGAAGGTTATTAGAAGGTAGTGTTTGTTATAGTAGGCCTTCTAATAGGCCTAGGCCTTTGCTAGTTTGTTAGCTATCTTAGCGTGAATTTCTCGTATCTTTTGAACCCTCTTAATAGCCGCTAGTGTCTTAGGTTAACCCGCTTCCCTTTCCTTACGCTCGGCCTCGAGCGATAGGGGGTCTTATAGTATAGTAGCGTTCTAGCCTATTATAGCGAAATAAGGTAACATTTACCGTAACACCTTAGTAGATAAGTAGACACTGTTATTATACACGAATTCGGCAGGTTATAGGAGATTAACCTAGTTATTAGGGTTCTTATTAATGTAGCTGCGTAGATACTGCTATAGCGTAGCATTCTACCTTTCGGTCTGACTATCTGTTTATAGATAGAATGCTATAGACAGGCGATGCTTAAGTCTTAGCTATAGGCAAATCTTACTCTAATAATAAGATATAAATATCGAGCCTCGGTTAGAGACTATCCCTTTAGGGGTCCCCTAATAGGTATAGAAGATGTTGTTCTATAGCGCTTCTGCTATATTAATAGTAGTCTAATCTTTCCGCGCCGGGATATATCGAGCGCCTTTAGTAAATCGATCTACTATAATAAGGATAGTATTATATACGTCCTTGCTGCCCCTACGCTTAGTAGGCAGAAGTCCTATAATAAAGTCTATTATAAGCTCTGCAAATGGCTTATAAGGGATTAGTAATAAGGACAACTCGCTAAAAGGCTAATGCTTTAGTACCTTAATACGTTAATATACGGCATACGTGTCTACGTAGTCCTTTATATCCCGCTTACTATTTAGCTAGTAGTATATATGCGATAGTAGCTCGTGCGACCTCTCTATGCTATAGTAACTAGCAAGCTTACTATTATAGTATCGCTTAAGAAGTTCTTATCGGATCGAATGTTTAGCGGGGATATAGTATCTGCCCTTAAACTTTAAATAACCTTTATTATCGATCGACTAATTGTTACTCTTGCTAGATCGAGTCTTTCGCCTACTTATAAGCTTATCGATACGTTTAGTAGCAAAGGCGTCCCTCTACTAAGTACGTAATAGCTTATCTATAAACGATTAACTATCCCTATTTGTAAGGTTATTTAATAGTACCCTCGCTATTAAACGAGGGACGTATTATATGCATCTAATAGCACTAGTAGCCGGATTAACTATAGTAGTGCTATCGCTATTACTATATATTGCGATGTCGACTAGGGAGTTATTATAACTTCTCCTATCTATGTCCTTAGCCCTTGCCTTAATACGTACTATTAATATAGCAAGAGTATTAATATACTTTAAGCCGTCGCGGAGTCCGGTAAGCCGCTTATCCTGCGCTTGCTTATTAACAATACAGGCTATAGCGATCTTATACTATAGGGTTAGAAACAAAGAATTAATATATTAGGTTTCGCTATTATAATTAAGTCGCCTCGATAGGCTATTAGTAGGGTTGCTTACGCCTAGCCGATATAATACATTAAAATCAAACCTAGCGAGGTAGACAGCCTATCTAGCCTGTCGACCTATAACCCTAGTAACCTTAGTAATGCTACGGAGGTTGTTATAGTCTATATAGACCTATATTATATATTAAGCCCTATCGAGGTAGTGTCTCTAGTACTTAAAGGCCTCGATAATAGCTAGGAGCTCTTACTCGTAGGTCTTGTAGCGACGTTTAGTATTAATTATCTTTATTAAGAAGAAGGCAATCGGGTGCTAGTAGGTGTTATTAGCCTACTGTAATATAATAGCTAATATAGCGAACTATAAAGCGTTAGTCTCAATTCGGATCTGCTTGTTTAGTACGAAATAGTGTAATAAGGGGACTTTAGTAAAGCGCTCCTTTAAACCGTCAAAAGCGGCTTGTACTCTGTTAGTCTATTTAAACTCTCTAGTTAGGTTAGCCTTGGTTTTAGTAAGCTTAGTTAGGGGCATTATATGTCGTAAATAGCTCTTAATAAAGCGACGATAGAAATTAGCGAAGCCGAGGAACGACTAAAGTTCCTTAATACTAGTAGGTATTAGCTACTTAGTAATAGTCTTAATCCGGTTAGAATTAGCCTTAATACCCTTAGTCGATACGAGGAAGCTAAGGAAGGACACCTCTTTAGTAGCAAAGGTGTATTTAGAAGGCTTGCAATATAGTCTATAGGTCCTTAGACGATCGAGTACCTTACGTACTATAGCCTAGTACCCTATAATGTTAGGTAAATAGGTATAAACTAGGATGTTATCTAGGTAAACTATATAGAGGTAGTCTAATAGGCCCGAAAGGGCCCGATTAATATAGGACTAGAATATTATAGGGGCATTAGCTAGACTAAATAGCATAACTAAGTACTCGAAATAGCTATAGCGAGTACGGAAGGCTGTTTTCTATTCGTTACCCTTACGAATACGGATACGATAGTACGCATCCTTAATGTCTAGTATAGTATAGTAGTAAGCCCTAGAAAGGCGATCGAGGGTCTTATTAATAAGAGGGAGTAGACAGCGGTCTTTAATAGTAACAGCATTAAGCCTACGATAGTCGATATATAGACGTAGGCTACTATCCTTCTTTAGTACGAATAGGATAGGTGCACTAGTAGGGCTGTTACTATACCGAATACGACTATTAGCTAGGTTTTCCTCTAGGTACTTACGTAATATAGCAAGCTCGCGCTTACTAAGGTTGTAGAGTAGTCTAAAAGGAACCTCCTTACCCTCTATAATATCAATCTTATAATCCGTCTCTTTAAATATAGGCAATGTCGATACTAGGTAGTGTTTAAACACATTAATATAGGTTTCTCGAATAAGCTCTAGTATACGCTTAAGCTGTTTAGGGTCTATGCTATTAGGGGGCACAGGTTTATCGTTATTACTACCGAGCAGGTCGGTAGTTAGATTAGTTAAGGCGGAGGCTAGTATAAGGTTGCTAATAAATAAGACCCTAATATTATTAGGACACTCGCTAATATCGATATGTTTAATGTCCTCTCTCCTAGCGATTCTAAATCGCTATTATTAACTGCCTAAATCTATAACTATAGCATAGTGCTTAAGAATAGGGTTGCTAATAATAATAGTAGCTCCCCTATATAGGTTGTTTATATCTACTACGTAGGTAGTAAAGTCTAGTAGGCGTTCATTTCCGAGGTCGTTCTTTAGAGCTATAGGAACATAGTAGGCCCTATAGGTTAAGTGCCGAGCGTTATTAAACTAAGCAAGGGTTAGTAGGTTAGTCCTCGGCAATTGTCGAAGGTCTAATTACTTAGCTAGGCGATAGCTAATAAGGGCACTAACTAAATTTCCTAGATCTAGCATAACCTTAGTTTAATAGCTAGTGCCCTTCGTGTCCTATATAAGGTAGGAGCGTATTATAGCTAGTATAATATCGATAGTCTTACGCCGTACGAGGCTAATAGTTAGTACGGCGCTTACTCTTTTTTCGACTAATTAGAAGGTTAGCCTATAGGGGTAGCGTTAGCTACTAAGAGATGCTTTCGGTACTTAGCGGTAGTACGGTCGACTTAGGCCTAATCCCTAGGTTTGTCGCATTAGCCTAGCAGATAGCTAGTGCTATCGCAATTAAAGCACTTCAATCTAGTTAGGAGGTTACTATAGCTGCTATTAGTCGAGCGGTTAGCGTTATAAGGATACGAGCCCCTTCTACGGCCCCTATTACGGCCTCCTCTATATAGCCGTCGGCTACGACCTCTTCCGCGGTCGTTACTGTTCCTATTGTTAGCATTGTTGTCTTAGTAGGAACCTTAGTTTCCTCCGCGGCTACGGTTGCTATAGTTGCTAGTAGGTCGGATCCTTAATTCTAGTCGTTACTAGAGCTAGATAGCTCGTTTAGCAGTTTCGACTTTAACTATAAATTAAATACGTATAAGATTAGTCTGTTTAAATACACGGCGGCGGTTTAATTTAAGGACTAATTCCTATCTCAATTTAGGGCGTATTTCGGAGATCTAGATAGAATTAGTTTTCGTCGGAAGGTCGTCTTCGAGGGTCTTTAAATAGGCCTTAAATAAGCGAGCCGATTAATTAGTCTTTTGTTTAGCTCGAAGGTACTAGTCCTAAGCGTGTTGTTGCCTTAGTATAGGGTTTCTAAGGGTGTCTAGTATAATAGTTTTATAGGTCTGCTACTAAACAGTAGTCTAGTTATTAAGGGAGTTAAAATAGTTATCCTAGGTGCGTTTTAGGTCGCCGTTAATGTACTGCATAGCATAGACGACTAGTAAATAGTTATTTAGTAGAGCCCTTAGTGCGTTTCGTTAGTTAAGCTTATAGTTACAAATGTAGTCGTTATATTGCTTTCGACTAGAGCTATTAAATATAGTACAGTCCTTAAGTTTAGCATCCTTCTTCTAGACTAGGACTAGTAGTAAGGAAGGCCCTACTATCGGCTTAGTATTAGTTGTTAGGGCCTCCTAAAGGCGGCGAATTTCGAGGAGGTTATCCTTTAGCTATTATTCTTAACGTAGGGCAGTAAGCCTGTTTTAGGTAGCTTCTTAGAGTCTCCCTACTAGTTAGGGGCTAAAGGCTAGCTAGCTATATCGTCGATTAACAATGTTGTTAAGAATGTCGTTAATAGGCAATTCTAGATTATTACCTAGAATTATAGGTTCTTCTTTAATAGGCTCTCCGGTAGGCTCTTTAGTAGGAGGCACTTTAGCAGGCACTTTAGTAGGTGCTATACTACTAGTGTTGTTATTGCTAGCGCTGCTAGCGGCAGTACGGTTGTTATTTCGTAATAAACTAGCTATTATAAGGGGCGATACTAATAATATATTGTTAGCCCCTAAGATGCGGATATAGCGGAATTAGTAGATATCGGCTTAGTATACTTAACTTAGTATAATAGGCCGTATAGAAGGCCTTGCTTAATAATTAGTACAATTGTTTCGATAGAATAGTACGTATAGGCCCCGTTCTTCGGGCGTAATATAGTTAAATCGATAGTTTTCGTAGCTATACTGCTAAAAGCTTGAAATAAGGACTATCTAGCTACTGCCCTTAAAAGGTAGATCGAATACTATATAAGAAGGGTTATATTAGTAGGTAGATAGGGTAGTAGTAAATCAGTTTAGTATTCGATAGAGATCTAGGAGGAGAGGGAGGAAGGTAGGAGAGTTAGCCTAATACTAAGCGCTAAGCCCTGCCTAAGGTATTAAGACTCTAGCTTTACTCGGCCTAGTTATATACTAATTACGTGTAGCCTCTTTAGCCCTAACAAAAAGACAGATTAACGGCGAGGATACCACTATACTAGTATTTATATTAAAATATAGCCTAGGAATTTTGCGTAGTCGTATTTTAGTATAGATAGACGCGACGTATAATTCTAACTATTTAGGCTAGCAGCTCTATACTATTATAGTACGCGACAAACACGGCTCTCTGCGATAGGTCGCCTTCTTCCTTATAAAAACGGACGATAGTAATATTATAGCGGCGGCGCTTAAGCAAATATAGCAATAGACGACCGATCTAGCTATTCTAAACGACCGTAGATAGATACCTGTCTACTTCCTTACCGACGACTCGGTAGTAGAGCGACGCGCTATTATACTCGCCTTTCCTATAGCAAAGTATATTCTATACTATATATATATTAAACAGACGTTAGACAAGCGATTTAAGAGCGAGAAGTATACAGATACAAAGCGGCACTTATATACCTTCGTATTCTCGAGAAGAAGCCGTAAAGGTGCTCTCGAGTTACTTAATTTAGTAAGAGCGAGTCTTCTACGCGCTAAGCGTAAAGATAGCACCCTTGTACTAGAGAGTAACGACGATAACTATTAATTAGACCTCTGCTATTTGCAGGTCGAGCTTAAAGACAATATAGCGCTTATTTGTAAGTACTATCGTTACGCTATTTCTAGAGCGCCTATAGTCGTCGAATAGATATTAAATACTAACTAGCTCGAAGGCTAGCATTTAGTGCTTAAATATAGCGAGTTTAAGGCTATTATAAAGCGCGATTATATACTTAAAGGTACGGCAATACGAGTAATTAAGAAGTTAGCTAAATACGACCTTCGAGCCGATAATAATACCTTCGCGGCGCGTACGAAGGTCTATCCGCGGACAACCGATAGTAACGAGATAGTATACTTCTTTCTACGACTTCCGTAGAAGCTTTAGTAGGCAATTAGCGCTAAGATTAACTACGCCGAAGATCTAGAGGTATATTATAAACAGAAGCCTATATCTAACGACCTAACCTACGAGTGCAAGTTCTATCGTTAAAACGACGTCCTTTGTCGCTATATTTAGTCGGCTTACAAAGCAATAGAATACAGGCTAATTAAGACCTATTATTACGACCGCTAGATAGCTATATTTAACGACGGTAGACTCGACTATTATAATAACCTCCGTACGCTAATAGCGCCCTTAAATTGCGACCGTACGACTATACCTACTTATCGGCTTTAATTCCGTAAGCTTTACGATAATATACGACAACTGCTATATAAGATTAAAAAGCGACTAATAACTAAAGGTAAGCCGCTCGAGAGCCCTCGTCGCGACTACGTTATTAACAACTTTATTAGTCTCGTCCGTAATATTAGCGGCGAGTTAAGATAACGCGCCTTATTACTATTAGTAGACGACTATAACAATACTACGACTAGCGCTAAGATTAACCTTACCGCGCGCGCGAATCCTACGCTATCGCAATTGCTAATACCTCTAGAGATACTATCGTCCTTCTACCGTCTAGTTATCTACTAAAATATTACTATAAACGCGACTATCGTAGATATAATAGTCGGTAAGAGTAAGAATAAGCAGAAGGCGTAGGGTAGTAGTAAGAGGAAGAGTAAGAACGCGAGGTAAGAGCCTAAGATTGCGACTAAGAACGCGATAATACCTTAGCGAACGCTACTAGCGCTAGTTAACGCGAATGTCTATATAAATTTATATAGAAACGCGACTTAAATCGCGCCTAGTATTCTATATAGTATTGCGCCGCCCTCTAACTAATAGTAGTAGTAGTGCTAGCTCGCACCTCTGCCTATAGGCTTATTCTACGACAACTACGGCATTATATACTATTAGGGTATCGATAAACGCGCCTACTATATAGATCTATTAAGTCTATAGTCTATAATTAATACTTCTATACGTATTTCTACTGCAATATAAACAATACCTCGGATTTAGCTATACCGCTATTTTGCTAATAAACTTTAGCTTTATTTTTAGTAATACTATTAGTATCTATCGGTAGAGCGTACGAGGTAGTTAAAATAGTAGAAACCTTACTAAATTAGCTATTAACGCGCTCTTGCTATCGACATTTAGTATGCTAGCGGAAATCGCACTACTACTACTACTATTCTTACTACTACTAGCGTCGACCTAGTAATAGTAATACGCGGCGACGACGAGATTACGTTTTCTATAGTTACGTATACTACGGAGCGGACGACTAGGTCTTACCGACTCCGCCGCGGCAGGAACTTGCCGGCGTGGCGTACTGCTAGCGCTTTAGGTATTATACTGTTTGCCAAAAAAACGACGACGGAATTAGAGTTGGCGCCGTCGCTCGCTACGCCATTCATCAAGCGTGAGCGCCGTACCGAGGCAAATCAGATGGCCACCTCTTCCTTCTCTCGACGCCTCGCTTCTGTACAAATGACAGCATGCTTCGGCGATGACCACAGCTCTCGAAAACGACCACGATGATGGTCTGCCACTGCACCATATTCCCGGAGATCCTGCAGAGCAATCTGCTCGATTGCTAGATTTTCCCGGGGACGGAGCGGCAACGATCACAACGAAGCAACCCAAGCAAGACCATCGTCAAGCATATCTGGATGGACTGCGTGGCATCGCTTCATTACTGGTATACATCTACCACCACATCTCCTGGTTCTACGGACCTGAGGACGACATTATCAATGGCTTCGGGAGCGACCCGGTGATTCCAAGAGCGCAAGCCGCCCGTGCGACAGCAGAGATTGCAGCACCGAACTACTTCTTCGCTCAATTGCCTTTCGTCCGTCTCATCTGGACCGGCGGAAATGCAGCTGTTCACACGTTCTTCGTCTTGTCTGGCTACGTCCTTTCGATATCCATGCTTCGAAAGCTGTCCTCCACGGCGTCTCATATGGACACGGCATCACAATACGGCAGTCTAGTGTCGTCATTCATTCGTCGACCGTTCAGACTGTTTGTTCCTGTGTTAGGCGTCAGTCTTATGACTGCGATATGCTGGCATCTGCCATTCGGTCTTGCTCCTGTCATGGCGTGGCCTGCCCCCGAAGACAGCTTCTTCGCCGAGTTGTGGAGATGGGTGTCGCAGAGTTTGTGGTTAATGAACCCTTTCCAGCCGCATGGAGTCCTGACAGCCTGGTACGTGTACAATCCGCCGGCCTACACGATGCCTATCGAATGGATTGGCTCCATGGTCGTTTTCGGAGGACTCGGTCTGGCAGTCACCTTTTCTGCACGCATGGGACAACGGGCCCTCATGGCAAGGGCAGTTCTGTTCGTTACTGCTTTCGTCTTCTTCCTTACTACTTATCAGTGGGCAGCAGCCTGTTTCGTAGGTGGCATGCTTCTAGCACTCAATGAAGTGGAGGGCTTCGATGGACTCTCACAAATCAAGCAGTATCCGCCCGGTATTCAAGCATTTCACCATCTCGTATTGATCTGGGGTCTTTACGTACTTAGCGAACCTGCTTCAATGGAAGTCTCAGCCCAGACTCCAGGCTACCGAACTTTGACATACCTCATCCCAAAGAATTACTACGAGCATGAGTACTGGCGATGGTGGCACAGTTGGGGCGCGATATTCTTGGTTTTCGGAGTCCTCAAGATCAGATGGCTGCAGCGCTTCTTAACGACACGACCCATCCACTACTTAGGATGGCTGAGCTTTTCGCTATATCTCGTTCATGGACCGCTGCTTTGGACCCTGAGCGACCGCGTTTATCGCCTATTTGGAAATGTGCGAGTTGCAGAGATCAATCTTTGGATTGACCACAAGCTGGAAGTCCCGGATTTCGGCATCCATGGCCTGAGCACGAGATTTTTGCTCGCGCAGATTTTTGTTCTGCCAATGAACTTCGCCTTTGCACACCTCACCACAGTACTGCTTGATGAACGCAGTGTGCGTCTGGGGAAATGGATAGTGCAGAAGCTGTATATAGAGCGGAAAACATAGTGCAGCTGCCTGGATTGGAAATGATTCAAATGGGAAATTCCCTCCCAGTCCTTCTGGCGAAGTCCGGACTCGCCCAAAAGTTTTCTTGATCCTCAATGGACTCGGGAATCAACGTACATGTAGCCACTCGCCGTCAAGCGATGTCAAGTGACCCAGCTTCACATATGCAGCAACATATCGTTCAGAAAAGAAAAGGTGCTATCGTCACATATGGCGCAGGCGGTATCATTAACGAAGATGGACTTCTCTCCGAGGACCACAGATGCGAATAAGATCGCCATCAGAGCACTATGCTGTCCAACGGTTAGTAACGCCTGCATGAGGCCGCACATAAGTTTGCAAGAGTGTTACAAGCACTCCAATCAAGAGTAGAGGTACTCCAGGACAACGAATCCTGAGTTTCGCAGATATGAATCCCAGCTCGAAAAGGAAAAAAAAGGTTAGAGAACGGAGTTCCATGGCCAATGGCAATCCGTTTGAGGAAATCCTTGAGCTCGAAGATTATAAGAGACGACGCTGAACTTTATCAGCGTCAGAGATTCACGAGACGGGTGTACCGGCAATTCTAGATGTTGTGCTGTTGGCAACTTGAAAAAGTGCAAAGAAAACAGGTGTCAGGGTTGTAATTTGTCGTAGATGATCAGTGCCTCAGGCGCTGAAGAAAAGGCCGTCGGCTCTCTCAGTATTCCGGACGGAATTCCGCGAAGCGTGAGAGCCTTCGGATAAGGAGCGCTCTGCCGGGCTGACGCGACGCAGGAATGCTGCGCAGGACCACGCTTTTCAGGATAGATTTATGCTGACGATAAGGCCTTGGGGTTGACATGCTACGATAAGCTTTCTAGATCTGAGGAACCTGGACCAGGGTCTGTGTAGCACTGGCAAGGAGCCCTTGCGGAAGAGCTTATTCCTACTTCATCTAGCAAGACGAGACGGTACTGTTACAGGTACGGCGGGGTGTATCATGGACGTCACGATGGGAGAAGTGGGACATGAATTGAAAAATATCCTGGGATTGAATTTCAATTCTCAATCGCACCTTCCCAATGCCGCTAATGCCGTTCAGTCATACGTTCCTCGCAGCTGGCGAGGTTTGATGAGCCATTACGTCGTATCTATGTACATGCTCACTTCATCAAGAAGGAGAGCATTGATGCTGTGAATGTGGGTATCCTTGTTCTTGTTCTGTGCCCTCAGTCCTTCTCGGCGACGCCAAAACGCATGTTGCCACCGTCGAAGACGGCGAAGAACTGCTTCAAGAACACATCGCCTAAGATGGCTATGTTGGGAGCTTCACTAGGCTGGAGACCTCCCCAGCACATGTGTTCGCGACCTGCGTAAGGGGACTGCATGTAAAACATGTCGCCGCCCTTGATCGTCGCGTACCAATGGTCGCCGATCTGGATGCCAAGATCCGGCATGGCTGTGTCGCAAGGAGCCGCGATCAGACCGTCTTCCTGGTCGACGCCTTCGATCTGGTTGTAGTAGGCCCTCACGATAGACTCCTCGAGGTAGAGAAGCGAGGTACCGGTGTCGGCGATGACGGGGTAGCACTCCTGGCACTTGATGGATGATGACGAGTTGTTGCCAATCTTGTAGCTTGGGATGGAGAGAGACCAAAAACCATCGGAGTTGTCAACGGGGGTGTAATGAATGTGGCCGCTGTACTTCGATTGATCGATCTTGCCAAACTCATATGTACCCCTGCCGTTCGTCTCTTCGAGATCTGCTGTAAAGAGGGGCGAGGACAGGTCGTCCATGACGTTCTCGAAGAAGGTCTTCTGCTGCATAGGCTCGACAGTATTGATGTTGGAGAAGGCAAGTCCCAGAAGACCATCACTGTTGGGGTCGGACACCATGGCTTGCGAGACGTACGATGCCAGCTCAACACATTGCTTCTGGACTGTAGAGCCGCCAATATCGACGACGTCGAATCCGACTATGCCACTAGCGCCACTGCCATCTCCGTAAGTGATGTTCCAGCTAGCGCCCTTGTACTCCTGGAAAGTGGAACTCTTCCCAGGATTGAAGACGGATTGACCTTGGATTTGGGAGCTGGGAAGCTTGGTGGAGAAGAGCCAGCTGGAATATAGTCAGCAAGCGGAAATGGCAATTCTGATGGAGGGTCTCTTGCAGATCTGCTGAGCCAGTATCGAAGTTGAGGTTCATGAGCTGGCCACCAACGTGCACAGGGGTCAAATACTGGCTCTCGTTCTCCTCTGGGGTGGTGACAGCTTCGCCGTCTTCGTTGCCACCGCTAGGAGAAGGCGATGGGTAGGCAGTGGTTGATGTGGTGGTACCATAGGTAGGAGTGGTGCCGTTGGTGCCATTGGCAGCGGTTGGAGAGCCAGTGGATAAGGGAGCGCCGCCTGAGTCGTGTCAACACAGTGCGTGAGGATAGGGTGTCTATCGCTACTTACTAGGTGCTACAGTGTAGGTGGTGGTCACCACGACCGGAGCAGCGGCGGAGCTTGAAAGGGTGTCGTCGGACTGATAGCTCGATTGATTCTCAACCACGATGATGGACCAACCCCACTTGCGGCGAGTGCGATTGATGTCGTCAAGTGGGTTCTTGACGGTGCGACCTGGCGCTGGTGCCTGGAAATGCTTAGTGAGAGCGCGTACAGTTCCGAGGGTGGATAGGTACCTTGAATGATCGCTTGACCAGTGACTTTGCGTGCGGTGCCGGCGCGGCCAGCGCAGCGCCCGTCAGAGCGAGTGTGCTAAGGAGCGAGAGCTTCATGGTGTTGTTCTTGGCGATCGTTGAAAATGAAGGTATGGGTTTCGATGAACCGTGTGTGATGCGGCGTGCGCGAGCTTTGGAAAAAGAGTGTGTGGTCTGTCAAAGACCTTGTGAAGAAGAGAATGAAGGACAGACGGTCGCGAAAGAATGACACGAGGGGTCTGTCGAATGCAGCCGGGCACGAGTGAAGGGAAGAAGCGAAGAAGAGTGTGTGAGGGTGGGGGTGAGGGTGAGGGTGAGGGTGAGGGTGAGGGTGAGTGAGTTGGAGTGAGGGTGAGGGTGTGGGTGTGGGCGTGGGCGTGGGCGTGGGAAAGACATTGCCGACAAATGAAGTCGACACCTCCAGATCGGCAAGAGCATCTGCATCTGCACCTGCATCTGCAACACCTGCATCTGTAACACCTGCATCTTGTAGCGAATGCACTACGCAACGCCATACAGTCGCTCCTGCCAACGGATGTCGTTCAGTACAACACACGCCACGCCTCACTACTGTCACAAGCAATCGCGAAGCCTCTGATGCTGGCCATGTTGACTGGTCTGCCCGCGCACTGAAGCAGCGACCGTGACCACAGCCGCGCGTGCTGCCCCCTTCGTCTCCTTCGTCTCCTGCTGCATCCAGTCTCCAGTCCCCCCTCCCCATCCGCCAGATCCTGCTGCGCGTCGCCTACTCTTCTTCTGGACGCCGAGTTTCACCATGCAGTCCATCATTTGGCCCCGTTTCACCAACGCGACAAAGCTTTTGCCTACTCCTAAGCAGACGTCGTGACTCGTGAAGCACCTGCCCTGCTGAAGTGCCATCCACCAAACGTTAAATATGAAACAGCCGCTAACCGAGCGCTAACCCTGCCGTCTTGGCGATCTGTGGTTGGCTGAAGAAGTTCTTCGGAAGAAAGCTTGCACACCAAACAAAACTTTCATTCATCACGACTATGTACAAGAATTACTATTACGCTGGACCCGCTATTGTTTACCTGGAAGTGTCCAGGACATATCGTCCCGCGATTTGGCCCTTGTGCATCAGATCATACACCTTCTGAAGCTCCGAAAGGCCGACCACCTTGAATGGAGCCTTGATGAGACCGCGACGGAAGAAGTCGATGGCCTCAGATGAGTCCTTGCGGTTGCCGACGTATGAGCCGCGGATCGTCACCATCTTGATGACAGACTCGAACACTGGAGCGCGGAGGTAGGCGCCGGCGGGCAGCCCAATGCAGATGACGGTACCACGTGGGCGTACGTACTGGAGCATGTCAGTCAGCAGTCGTCTACACCATCAGCAACATGTCTTGACTCACCTCTGCTGCCTGCTGGAATGGCTTCTCGTTCACAGCCACGAGGATGACGGCGTGTGGGCCAAGCCCGTCCTCAGTCGCCGCTTGCACATCCTTGACGAGATTCTGGCTGGTGGCGAAGTCGACGAAAGCAGACGCTCCCAATTGCTCGAGCGACATCTTCCTCTTCTCCTCGCCACTATCGATGGCGATGACATGGAGACCCATAGCCTTTGCGTACTGTTGCGCGAGAGATCCGAGTCCACCACCTGCACCGACAATGGCGACAGTCTGTCCTGGCCTGACGCCAGACTCCTTCAAACCTTTGTAGACGGTGATACCTGCGCACAGCACTGGTGAAATGGCATCAAGTGGGCATTCCTTGGGGATGCGAGCCACGTGGGCTGCTTTGGCAATGCAGTATTGCTGGAAGGAGCCATCGACAGTGTAGCCAGAAAGAAGGGCCTTGGAGCAAAGTGGCTCGTCAGACTGCTGGCAGAAATCGCAAGCCAAGCAAGATCCGTTGATCCACTTAACACCTGCATGGTCACCACTGCTTGCTGTCAGCTATTGTTTCCCGCCAAGCAATCTCAGGTTGCTTACATCTCGATGTCCTGGACCAAGTCACCCTTAGCAACGACAACACCAGCACCTTCGTGGCCACCGACTAGCGGGAGCTTTGTTGGAAGTGGCCAGTCTCCGTTCACAGCGTGAAGGTCCGTGTGACACACGCCAGAAAACTTGATGTTGACGAGAACCTCGTCTGGACCTGGCTGCTGCACTGGAATCTGCTTGTATTCAACTGGTCCACCGGTCTTCTGGATGACCTGCGCCCATTGCATCTGCGGGATTTGAGCCATGCTGGAAGCGTTGGAGAGTAACAGTTATGGATAAGGATGTTTGATTTTCGTGAAACTAATCTGCTCTGAGTAGCGAAAGCGGTCGACTGATGAGGAGAAAGGAGCTGAACAGCAGTGCCAACTTCTGGTACTTATCATCGGCCCAGGACACGTCGATACATCTTTGCGCCCCACACCGTCTCGTTCGTTCGAAAGGAGGGGCGCTGAATCCAATGCTGATCGGACAGATGGTCTATGCATTGCTCAATCCATTCAACCCACCTGCCTCCATGGATGTGGCATGAGTCTTGACGGGGATCATGACTGCACCAAGAGTCCAAGCATCCTACATGCACGAGCTCCCTGCACAGCAGCCTTACTCTAAGCTGCCTAGATCTTTGCAAAGTGCGTTCGCAAAGCTCTGGCGCAGATCTGGAGCCTGGTGGATTCGTAAACCTGTTGGACCTTACTAGCCTTTCTTGCAACCGCGGAAGCAGGGCCAATTGATGCATGTATGACATTGGATCCAACGCGCTACGCGGCTTCGCGGCGTCCAGCTGTAGACTGTAGTCTGAACTATACCCCAGAAATGAGCAAAGACTAACGTAGGAATCACTATTTCTGCGGGGGAAGCTCTCACGATGCAGTGCTCAAGCTTGGTTACGGGACTTACGGGTTGGATCGATCCCGGATCGAGCGTACGTATACTTCATGACTCCATGAAGGCCGCAGTTCCGCCGATGTTCTGGCTCTCATTGCTCGTCGGACGACCGGTTGCGAGATCAGGTGTGTATGGCGTCTGCGACAGCTTGTTCACGAATGCCGTGAAGAAAGGAAGGCCTCGGAGCTTACTGCCCAACCTGGTATAGTTCTTGTGGTTCCCTTGGTTCCTGGTCGCCACAAACTTCCGGCTCTGTCCTTGAAGCTTTGACCCGACATCGAATCGGCCCACTCGCTTGCGTGGATGCTACTTTTCAGGCTCATGGGTGTTTCTTAACGTCGGCGTTTGGTTGAACTTCGCGTGTGCCGATGTTCGGGACTGGTATGGCTTCCTTGCGTCCACGGACAACAGGATCGGGATATCTGTCCCATCTGCTCGCACTCCCAGAGATCCTATCGTCCGCTGCATTCGCTGCTCCGGAAGTTTAGTCGCATTGCATGTGCTTCACACAACCGTTGCATTGAAGATTTTGCAAACTCACAAGCGCGCATGTCCGGCCGCTGGGCTCTTCGGTCCTTGGGAGGTCATCTTCACTCTTGGGCAGTTTTGGAAAGTAGAGCAGCGCGAAGACAGTCTGGGAATTTAAGAAGCAGCACCGGGGTTGATCCACCTTAATGGACGGCCATTAAGGTGGACAAAGCAACTCCACCTGCGACACCAGTTGAGCAAAATGCTCACAATCATGGACATCGCATTTCGCATTGTCCAATTTTCGTCCCCGATGTCATCATGTCACGCTTTTAATGGGAAGAGCGAGGCTTCGAAGACTTTTCATTCACGCACCCTTGGACTTCAGAAGCAGGATTGAACAAGCCGCATAGAATATCGTTTACTGCTAGGCGGAGCATCAGAACTATGTCAAAGCACAAGATATGAATCTTTCATCCACGAGGGCTCCAGGACATACAAATGCCGCACCTTCTGCATGCCGAAGGACTTATGCTCAATGTTCAACAGATTGGGCATGAGCCGCCTTGTTACTAGGCCCTTCCGATGCTGGCCTTTCGGCCTGTACCCAGAGCGATCTTTGAGCACGCGCTCGCAAGCTCTGCAGTGTCGAGCGTTATAGCACGGCTGGCATTCAATGCTACTCTCTTCGGCCAGATCCCAAGACCGCATTAAAGATGCCAAAGAGATCTACACTCCCGTGCACAATTTCTCGGCCAATATAGCTCGCGCCACACCTTTCGGTCGGTACTGACAGCTCCCTTGCACGATCTTCGATGTACCGTTGCAAGGACCACATGTAGATTGGGACACGCAAGCCGATTACCGGTAAGGCAAAGCGTGAGACAAGTGCGCTTGACCACGCTAAACGCGGAGTTGACCATCGATGTGGGGATCCGTAGACGCTAAAGCGGGTGCGTCCCGCACGCGAAAGTTTCATTACGCTAGGATCTTCTATTACGCTAAGCGTTACGCGATATCTATACGCGCATCTTTGCGCGTATACTCTCTTCCTTTCTTTCTATAATATACTACTAGTATATATCTACCCCTAGCCCCTATCCCTATTCCTTTATATATACCTATATACATACGCGACGAGCTAATAAGGCGACTTCGATGTCGCAGCTAACCGAGTTCCCCTATACTACTATACCTAAGCCTATAGCTCTATATATACCTCCTAATATGCCGCAAGATATTAAGACCGTTGCCTAGAATAATACCCTACTAGAGCAATCTATAAGTATAGAGACTAGGGCATATATCTGCCTATACTTATACCTATATAGAGCTCCTACCGCAAATATAAGAAGCGCCTCTTATAGGGCGAGTTATTTAATATGCCTAAGATAGAAATCGTAGTATATAATCTCTCTTCTGCCTATATAATAGGCTAAACTAATGCCTATAGATCTGCCTAAAGACTAACTAGGAGGCCGTACGCACCTATATAGGTAAGGTAACTTGTCGTATGCCGGTAGGATCTAAGAACTTCGGTCGCTTCCTAGCTACCTAGAAGAATCGCGATAGGTATATACAGTATTATGCCTATATTACTAGTTATTGCTAACACTATAATAGAAAAGACGAAGACGAAGAGACACTAAAGGAGTTATACGAAGAGAAGGGCTTCTATAGTATATAACTCTGTCTTTGCCTATACGCATACCTAAAGCTAATACCTTATAGACTATCTGCCGCGACACTTCGGCTCTCGCTATATATATTATCTATAGTGTACGTAGCTCCCTGCCTAGAGCTTTGCCTATACTAACGTATATATAGTATAAGGGAAAAGTCGAGTAGCCTAAGGAGAAGGACCGTAGTAGTCGGTATACGCCTAAGACTAAGACAAAAAAGTGCATTAGTAGGTTTAGGCAGCTCTATAGGCAAAGCTTTTTACTAATATATCCCTTAGATTTCTTCGACAATGCCTAGGATCTGTACGAGGTTAAGTATAGCTATATCTTTACCCTTACCTTTGCCTATACTAATCCGTATACAGCCCCGACGCCCTAGATATACTAAGCAAGGGCAAAGCTAAGGGCAAAGCACCGGCCAAATCTACCGAGACAATCGAAGACTTAGAGACTAAGTCTAAGTCTAAGTCTAAGAGTAATAGCGAGGTGTATATACCGATCTATGCCTATGCCGCTAGTTATATACTAACTTAAATAGGCCCTTCGTCGTCCGGCGCGGCAAGCATAGCAAGGTATAAATAGTTACGTATATACCTTTGCCTATACTAACGCCTATACAGATTGATCTAACTAAGGCTAACCGCGAGTTCCGTACCGAGTTCCCCGAGGCTATAGTGCCTTGCCTAGGTTGCTAGGCTAAGAAGGCTAAGAAGAGTAAGTCTAGAGCTTTAGCTATAGCAATGCCTATACTAACGCCTATAACAGACTACAACCTTAGTGCCGATACCTGCAACTATACTAAGAACTATAACGTCGTTATCCTTATAGGATAAGGGCATAGATATAGGCATAGGTACGGGCATAGGATAAACATAGGATAATCATTGCCTATATAGGCACGTGTATAAGTATAGAACTAGCCACTAGTTGAAAGCCCCGGCTGTAGTTAGACTTGAAAACTATAGCTAAATCTTCTCCGCACTCGTAACTTCCTGTATGCGCCGTGCTATAGCTATAGGTCGCCCTTTACAATATCGTAACTGCTTTCGAGGCTTCTAGAGTCTAACAAAGGTAGCTTAACTAAAAAACAAGGGGGATAACGAAAGGCTAGCGGTTATATCCTAAGAATAATATAAGCTATACTAGTACTAATAAGTACTAACAGCTAGAAACTAACAATAATTATATATATACTAGGATTTATAGGTAGTAGAAGCTACAGTTTAGACGAATTAGTATAGAAAGTTTGAAATAATAGGGGCCATATTAGTAAAGTTACCTAGATCAAAATAATTAAAACTAGTATATAGCGGGTAGGTCCTTTTTAGTATAGATACCTAGAATTTTATAACTGCTAGTTTTAGTCTAAAAGACATAGAGATACCGATCGATATTATACTATAGCGTTACTAGTAGGCTGGTTTTTTATATAGGACAGATGCTACTACTAGTACTATACCTATTCTCTAGTCTTTAGCTATAGCAGTAGGGCGTTATTATCCCCTACTGTTAATAGAATAAAGGTATAGTCTTTAAAAAGTAGGTTTAGGTATTCTTTTTAAGTCAGCTATATACTAGCGCTAGTACGTATCTTATAATGCCCTAAGGCCTATATACTGTTCTATCGAATACGTTATACATATTGAATCACACAAACGTATAGAAGTAGTAGTACTCTAGTTTAATACTACCCTATTTTAATTTTTATATATATATATATATATATATACTACCGTATAGGCCTATATACCGACTAACTAATATTAAACTATATCTTAATCTCTAGCGTAGCCTAGTATCGGGTCTCGTATTACTCGGGAGATAATACGCTACTTACCCGCTTTCCGGCTAATAGTGCTATTCTATCGGGTATAGTCTACGGATCTACTAGTAACCCGCTTTTTTAGTTTAGTATACTAAGGTCGGCGAGGTATGTTTCTAACTAGTATCGAATTGCTCTAATACTATGCTATACTTTTAACGTAGCAAGCTAGATATATAGCTAATCGTATAGATATAGGTGCTTTAGCTAGGTATTACCTACCCGCTCGCCTATACTAAATAGGACAGTATAGGCTATAACCTAGAGATAATCGGCTTTCTATACTAGTAGGCCGGGAAGGGTAATAGTACTTATATCTACTACTTTAAAGTCGGTAGCAATCGCACTACTACTAGTGCCTATTTCGATTTTATAGGTTAGTTTAATAACAAGGATTTGCTACTCGATCGTATATATCTAGAAGACTAGTTTGTATACCTGCTATACGATCTAATTCTAGCTAATACTAAGGT